CTTCGATTGAGTGAAGCAGGCCAGCATAAATGGTCATAAAAATCAAACTTTTGATTTTCGGAGTCAGCTGTTGCATTGCTGTATACTAATTTTATATACTATATAACTAAATATTAACTATATATTCACTTTTCTTATCACTAAGAGTGTTCAATAATCCTAATAAATCAGTTTGACACCATTTTGAATAATTTTGAGCAGTTATGATGTGTCATATCTGTCATTCATAACAATAAATGACTCATAATGTGTGTCTATGTGACTTTGGTAAGGCTGATTTACTCGTGTGAGACATTTTTAGATGTTTAGGGGTGTTTGATCGTATCCGGGTCTGTTTACTGACTAAAAATCGCAAAATGCTGGGCGAACCCCCCTCTCTACATGGATTGCTCCACCCCACAGAATCGTCTGCCATTTTGTCATTCATTCTGCCAGCGCATTGATCTCACTCACAGACATGCAGCAGAACATGGCGGGCAGAGCTGTGCAAAAATCGGCTCGAATAAATCCGTTTTTCATCGCCAAAACATAAGTTTTTTTTTACCCAATTATTTTTCTCGTGACCTGCGGCTGATGTTTGCATGCATACCCATAACTTTTGAACGGTTTGAAAGAGAGTAATTTCGACGCCACTGTGCGTTTCCAGGTCGAATCGTGCCCCTCCTGCATGTGTTCATCCGCCATGTGCGATCCTGCTCCGTGATGAGAGAGCCATAGAGTGAGCATAGGTCGTCGATTTTTGGCCAAAATTGTGGCAAATCTTCTAGATATCTTCCAGATATGATATTAGTTCAGGTATAATTGTGTTTGCAGTCTTTACAATGGCTGGTATGATGATGTTGCTCGGACTGTTCCCGTTAATTCGATATTTAATATGTCTGGAGCAATAATCATATTTCTTTATGAAAAATGCTTTCTACGACACGCTGAATGCTGCACACTCTAAAACAGCCCCCCGTGGGGGGCTCTCGGGTCCTATATAGCTTTCATGTGGTGAGCTCTATCTGTTGAAGGGCCAGTGTGTAGCATTTGGTGGCATCTTGTGGTTTGGTTGCAGATTGCACACAGCTAGATACCCCTCCACCCACTCTCCATGTAGATATGAAAGACACATTTTGAGCTGATCTCAGAACCCATCAGGGGCTTTATGTCTGGGGTTCCAGTGTAGCCAGCGGATATCCGGGCCGAGACTTCCCTTTCTTTGTGTGCTTCTTGTTTACACTCACAAGTAGCCATTTTACAAGCTAATCCTAAACCAATAAAAAGCTAAATCATTGTCAGACCATAGTCGGTGGGTTCCGAGATTGCAATTCAGCCAATGTGTTTCGACTGTTCCGCTCTCCACATGGACTGTTTACCTGCATTCAAGCGAAGCCTGCTTGAACGTGATTGTTTAATACTCCACAGACTACAAATGGAAACCAGAGCGCCTCTTGCACAAAGGTCTTGCCTACAGTTTCTGTAAATGAATGCAGAATCTGTTTCTGCAAATTGATGTTGGCACATTGTATCCTACAAGGAGAAGGTCTATGGCTGTAAACGGATATTGTTATGTTTTTCCACTGATCAGGAACACTGATACTCTGCGAAAGAACAAAGAAAACCCATTTGCCCCGTATTTGGATTGATCAATGGCTTCACCACAACAACCTGCAACCTTTGCAGAAAGTCAAACTCGCCCAACTTCCTCCCTCCCAACTCTCCTTTGAGTTGTGTCCCTGTTGCTTTGTCTTTGCAGCCGATGTGAGTGAGTGGGCGGGCGGGGGGGCAGAAGGGACTCTGTCTAGTTAGGAAGCATCGGGAGGATGTTCCATTGATTCCATTGACTAACACCTAACTTACAGTGGCTACAACTAATCTGGCTAATTCTGGGAAGCATCCACTCACTGTGCTCTTATCGACCACTGAGCTCGACGGTTCTTTTATTTGGTTGCACAACACACCTTGCCTGCCAACCGGTTAGCTTCGTCCTCACTTGTCACCAGTGTGTTGGATTTTGCACACAGCACCCAGCAAACAGTGTTTGAGTTAATTTTATGAATTTTAAGCTCTGAGAGAGATAGAAAAGGAAATTATTATAAAGTAGCCCCGTCATTACTATTATCGTCTGCTGATGGATTATGAATAGCTACCAAGAAATGAACGATGGCAGACTAATTTGGCTGAAGTCTTTCCTTACTGTTGAATGAAAATACCATAAGCAATGCATTCCTCATCGTCCATTGTTTATGAAGGCATATAAGCCTATTAAGCCTATAACCTATTTGTCCTTCAGGTGCGTCTGAGGTGGAGAAGGCTCTGCTGAAGCAGCTCTTTGCCGGCTACAACCTGAAGGTGCGGCCAGCCTCCAGACCTCAAGAGAGGGTGGTGGTTCGTGTGGGTATGGTCCTGTCCTCCTTCGTTGGACTGGTGAGGCACGAGACCCTGACACTTAACGTATATTTACATACATGTACATGCACGACAAGAATGTTCACAAAACAGTGGCAGGTGTACAGGATATGACAAGAAACAGTCCACCCATCCACCAGCTCTATGACTCTAAAACGCTCAACACCAAATAAGTAGATATTAGATAATCTGGCTCATTGCCATACAATAGAAAAGGCTTCAAAACTAAAAATTGGACAATAAGGATTTTTGCTTATGTGAGTCTGGGAAAATTGGGATTTTTACATCCTTGACTCAAGGAAAAAATGTTGATGTCGATGTTTTTACATTTGGTCAGAGCAAGTGACGTAATATATTGTGCGACCAGTGGGTGGTATAATAACGAGTTTGACCGACTACTCCACTAAGATCGGATGGGAGGGGATGTGGGCGGGTCAAACAAACAGACTTTCACCCAGGAGACCGCAGTTTGTGTCCCATGTGAAAGGCTTGTTATGTAATATGTTGTTGCGCTTGTTATGAATTGTTACATCAGAAAGTCCACTAAGGGTGGTTGATACGATGCTGCGGTTGTTACGTTGTAGTTTTAAACACAAACCATGTTTTTTCTCACCCTTTCCAAGTAGTTTAGTTGCCTAAACCTAACCAATCCCGTGGTATTTCTGCAATACAACGAGACTGATATGAAAAGTATTTTTGGTTCAGAAACATCTACATTCATTTTATCCCTTGGTTTGCCGAAATGGTTTCTGGGGTTTTCACGTGACAGTAAAGACACTTAATAATCTCCTGGGTATCTGCTATTGTATGGGTGTCAGTACTGGGGTTCCTATGGCTCTGATAATGTCTCGGTAAAGGTATTAAGTACAGTGGTGGCTCCCCATGCTGAGGAACACTGTACATGACAGGATAACAAAACACATGTAGAGCTAAAGTTTTTAATTTAACACAGTGAATATATCTGAGAGCCATCTGGTTCTGGATTCAGCGCTTGCTGTCCTGCTGAGTCAAATGGCACACAGAGTTATGCTACTGATGCACAGCACTGATTTCTATTCACCCATGCTGGTAAATAGGGTTTTAGCAGCCTGCACTGACTGGGCTCCTGTCTCTGTGTAACAATTGTGTACACACACACACACACGGTCACTTTATCTGTTCATTAATTTACCCCGGGCTTTCTTCTCTGTCGCACTGGCCGACACACACATTCACACATTGTCACATTTACACATTGACTACAGCGAGCACGCTCCTTACACCTCCACTCAAGGTGAGTGTCGCTCAGGAGAGGAGGTCACACGGGACCCTTAAGTTCTGGAGTGGAACGGTCTTGAACACTGACCCACTTCGATGCTCTGTCCGCTCATCTGCCCAGAACTAGTCAGCTGGATAACAGCGGTGTTATTATTATTAACAACCCCCCACCTAGAGTTACCTCCGGTAACGGTCACAGGAATAATAGTTGGTAAGTGATAGGTCAGTGATGAGATGCGTTTGTGTGAGGGGGTGAGAGAGAAAGCGAGATGGCTCAGCCTCCCTCTACGCTCTCCCCCACCCTCCCTGTTTTTGCCCCAGCTGTCTCCCTGACATTCCTCCCAGTGTCTAAAATAGCAGGCCCAGCTCAGGGGAAGCTCCACCTTCCTGCTGGATAGACAATCACACGCACAAATGCGTTCATTCATTGCCTGTAGTGGACATGAGCACGAGCTCTGTGTTGGGTGACTATGAGCTGTTTTGTCTGCGTGAGTTATGTAGCCATAATGTCATTTGTTTCATAGTCATGGTATGATCGTTAAGCAGCGGTACTGAAACTATATGTCTACATATGTACATCAACTGGGCATGAAAAGGGAAATCTGACAAATTATTATGAGCAAGAGTTAATTGTTTGGTATTGAACATATCTCTCAGCTCTGGTTTACTTCCTGAAACAAATTATAAACAAAACCTTTCAAATAATCCCAAATAGTTGAGCCAAAAGTGCAAGTTGGATGGTCCAGTGAGATGATTAAGAGGATATTAACATTCCTTTATTTTAAAACCTACATTCTAAAGCCCCTGTTAGACATGCAGCCCTTTACATTATTCTGATGGTCTCATGTCTGATGGGGCATCCTGCTCTCTTTTACATAATAATCCCTGACAGTAATCTAGTTACATTTTCACATCCCTTCAATACCATCAGACTGATGTGTAAAGGCTGCAGCAGCAGAAGAGAAAGAGATACGTGGGTCTTGTTCCGCCTTCTCAGATCACTGTTTAATACCTCATTCATCATCTCTTAAGCACAAAATCTCTTTTAAACAGGAAACACTGTGAAATAGACTTAGGCTTAACTTTAAGTTGTTGAGAAGTTTGATCTTGTCCTATCAGATCAGTCTACAGAAACGTGTGATGCGACTGGGCCAGAAGCTAATACATCCTCTAATGATATATATTTTCAATTATTAAACAAGAGTCCCAACTAAACGATGGCCAGCACCCCTCACCCTCCCGATGGTCATTACTGAAGGCATCAACGGAGTGATGTTGCCTGTGAGAGAAGAGAAAACACTCAATGTCCTAGATCTCCCTGCAGTAGAAACAAGGTGTGTGAAATGTTTAATGTAAAACTGAACATTAGGAAATATGGAAAGCTGTAGGATTCTCGCGCTGCTCTCTCCGTAATTCCCAAATGTTCAAAATGTTGGTAAGTGAACATCCTGTAGTCAGAATGGCCAAAAGGATGAGAATAAGACTCTGCGGTAGAAATCATTACATAAAGATGGAAGATGATTGAATGTGTGTGAATGATCATTTTCACATTTTTGTTCCAGAACATGAAAAATGAAGAGATGAGCACCATTGTCGTCATGAATCTGGTAAGTGTGTTGAGAGAGACCTCCCTCTTTGTGCCCCTACGGAAACAACCAAGAGGGAACACTAGGAGTAGTCCTAATAAGACGGAGCATGTGCAAAATGAAAAATGATGTAAATGGTATTTTGTTATGCATATAATCCCTGTGGAATCTAATTACAGCAGTGATGAAAAATAAACTGATGAAATGACAAATTGGCTACATGTGTAAATGTAAAGTGTCCCCCCCCCTTGTGTCCCTCTTGCCCTTTATATATATATATATGTACACCACATAAACACAAACTCTTTCTCAACAGGAGTGGACGGATCACCGGTTGTCATGGAAGCCCAAGGAGCATGATGGGATTGAGGTGATGCGTATCCCTGCTGCGAAGGTTTGGCTGCCGGACATAGTCCTCATAAATAAGTGAGCACAAGCGCTGCACTCACGTTGACATGAATTAATCAGCGACAAAAGAGTTGGGAGGAGGAACCGTTTGGTCACTTTCCTCCTTTTTAAGACAGAGAATGTGTTTATTTAGTTTGTGTCTAGGATGGGTTCTGCGTTAGGCCCTGGGGGGCGTTTAGTGTTTACCTTCACACACACATGATGTAGCTGCTGCTCCCTCTGTGGAAAGACAATATGACAAACGTCTCGTGAGGACAAACTTTGGCACAACCTCAATAATTCCTTTTTTCTTTTCTGCTGACACAGTTATGATCATGTTTGTCTATTTATTCAGTCTGAGTCGAGTTGTGCACTCAAGGTCATAATATTTTAGGTATTTTTAGTCTTTTTGTTGTAAGACAACGTGATGTCGAAGACACTTTAATCTGTTTAAAAGATCTTAACCCCCCCGTTTTACCCCCATGACTATGTCTCTGCTGGAGACAATGCTCCAGCTATCATGACTGGAGTATCATTTTAGCAGAGAATCGTGGGATCACATATCACATAATCCATCTCGTCAGGCTGGAAGTTATGCATTTGTGTCCGGTAAGCCGGTGCACGGACCAATCAGCGTCCCGTGAGGAGGTACTGCCAGCTCTGGCCGTGGTTTAGGTGTGTGTGTGACACAGAGAGACTGCTGTTTGTTCCTTCAAAACAAAAATGGCGGCTCCTAAAGAGGTTAGGATAGATGCTGTAATAACATCAGTTATATCAGAACTGGAGAGTATTTCTTCATTGGAAGAGAGAGCAAAGAACGACACTGAAGGCTTTTCTCCATGGAAAAGATTTCCCAATGGACTGGCTTCAGCAGGAGTTTGATTGACAGGTGGTTCATCCAATCACCTGCCAAGTATTTTTAGAAAGTTTCTGCCCTTTTCTCGATAGTTTCCAATGTCAGCTTCTCAGGAGGTTCTGTGTAACAAACCATGTGGCGGGGCAGGTTAGCATTTTACCGGAACCTGCTTGCATCTCTGAAGCACGAAATTAATTAGTGAATGTATTTAATTCAATTTAGTGTACATTTTAATAGTTATTGACTTATCTTGATGTATATTTAATCAAATCTTTTTTTCTTAATCCTTCAGAGTGGAGGATAAGGATTGCGACTATTTCCTCCCCACTATTAATATCAACAGAATAAAAACGATATAAGTCATTAAAACAAGTGCAGCCACAGATGATCTGTTACCGTGTTGATGGAGAATCAGCAGCAGATTGTTTGTGGTGTGATGGAGTGAGAGCACCACGCAGCTGCAACCAGTGGACATTAGGTTAAAGACCCAGGTACAGTACAGCACCTCTGTAATGGAAAACTCTCTGTCACAGCATTAAATTACAAACTGAAGATACTTGGAGTCTCTCTTTCTTACGCCCTCGCATACACTCCCATTAACACCGCTGTAAATATCTCCACTGCTCCATTCATCAACACTTTATAGGCAATTAAGCAGCATGGCTCCCTGAAAACTGAGCCGATGGAACCGCTCACACGTACACACAAATGCAGAAGTGTGTGTCTCTGTGTGTGTGTGTGTGTGTGTGTGTGTGTGTGTGTGTGTGAGATCAATGCTGATCATTTAAGCAGCAGCAGCACCTTCACAAGGACAGGGTTTTAGGAGGGCCCGCTTTAAAGACAAAAAGCCTCCCCTTGTTAATGCACCAGGGCCATAAAAGCCAAACACTGCACCCTGACAGATGGCTAAATCTGTGTCTAAATGACTTGATGTCTTTGTTGTGTATCGTGTTATGAGCTTGATGGCCAAAACAGCTCTGTTTACATCCAGCTTTAGTGCTTTACACTTCGAAGTGTCCTGGGAAATGTGCAGAGTTCCTCCGTTTCATCCGTGCCAATTAAAATGTTTTAGTGGGGTTCGTGCAGTACGTATCATTTCCGAGAGGCAATTCGTGACGAAGAAACTGTGGGTAAACATAAGGGACAACGTGCAGACTCTGACCAGAAAGAAGCACAACCTCAAGACAGGTCAGAGGTCCCACATGCAGTCGGTCCGCCTGCAGCGAGAGTTCCTCGCCCCCCAGTCTATGCTACCTTGCTGTCATGTTTAAGCAGTGAGGCAGTGATTTACAACTATCCAAAGATGGCGCTAACGTATAGGTATAAGGAAAGAAAAGTTGCTAATAGCATTTCATTTGTGTTTGCAGTAATGACGGGGTGTTTCACGTGGCGCTGCATGTCCACGTCCAGGCTTATAGTAATGGCAGAGTAACCTGGACTCCCCCTGCACTCTACTGCAGCTCCTGTGGAGTTAAGGTAAATATATCAACACAAACTTAAACTTGGAGACACTGGGCCTCATGCATGATTCAATCTGAAATTGTGCGTGAATACAATTTAATAACTTTTGTGGCATTCATTAATGCTTGCGACCTTATTATAGATGATTAATTCTGGCCTTTAATGACCGATATGCCCCCAAACACACACACACACACACACCTGTCCAATCATTAGTTATGACGTCACAATATGTCGGGAGTCTTCACAGTACATCAAGTAGTACGAAGTGGCAACGGCTTATTTTCCTTCTGCTCCATGCATTGAGAAGTGAGACGATTTTAAAGATGGAGCAGATTTGTTTGCTGAGAGTGACGAGTGGCTCATAAGCCGTTTTTCGATTACCGAGGCAAATTGCCCTGGCATCCGATTTAAGAGCAAACGCAATTCATCTCATATACTCAGGTGGGTGAGAACACATTTGGCCGTTAACTCACGTTTCATGAATCCCACGTAGGATTTTCATATTTTCCTCCTTATTGCTTTTTGCAAAAACAAACATAAGAGAAAAATAGGAAATCATTCACGAGTGAGGCTCAATGTTCTCCGTCTATTCTCATGCTTTGCATTCAATTGCCTGTTTGTTTGTTTGTTTGTGTCTAGGTCACGTATTTCCCGTTTGACTGGCAGAACTGCACCATGCAGTTCCGCTCCTACACGTATGACTCGACAGAGATCGACGTGCAGTACGCACTGGACTCAAAAGGCAAGGAGATCAAGGAGATCCAGCTGGACGAAGCTTACACTGGTGAGGATTTAGCTGGGAACACATGGATGGATGGATGGAGGGAGGGAGGGAGGGAGGGATGGATGGATGGAACAGTGAAGGGAATAGGAGGCTTTTAGGAAGCAAGGGAAACGTTTGATGAGACATTAAGTGAGGGGCTGGTATATTCCTTTGCATGATACAGTGAATGACTTCGCTCCTCTTTTTCTAAGTGTTCCCTCATTAGGCACTTTTGCATCTGCCTAATATCTGAACCATTAGTCACTAGAGTGTTTTTATGTATTTGCTGTTGGGTTTTTTGGAGATTTGCTGCCGACATTTCGCTGATCAAAAGTTTGTGAAATGTGAATGTTTCCCCAGAGGGCGGCGAGTGGCACATCACACACAAGCCGTGCAGGAAGAACATGAACGACGATCTGTACGAGGACATGACCTTCTACCTCATCATAGAGAGGAAGCCCCTGTACTACGTGTTTAACATCATCCTCCCCTGCATCCTCATCACCATCATCGCCATCTTTAACTTCTACCTGCCTCCTGACGCAGGTATGCAAACGATCCCGATCGTAACGCACACTGTTTCCACGTTGATCTAGCTTGGGTTCGGATCATTAGCCTTATCGTCGCTCTCTAAAACTGCTTCTACCATCTCCTAATTGTGTTCGTGGGGTCTGGTTGAATTGGGCAATCACACATTTGTCCAATTACTGTCACAAAGGGATTCCATTTCAGATTAGATAGCTGCTTCCCGTAGAGCAGGCCCACGATGGGGCCGCGAACGCCACCTAGAGGGCCGCAAAAAACTTTCAGTTTTGCACCTGTGGGCCGCGAGGGCCGCGGGACCGCATAGGTTATCAATTGAAGACACCAGAGATATTACTGTTCTCCATGAGACGCTCAGTTACAATATAGCTTCCCACCACCTGGTGGCGGTAATGCATCAGTCAGTTGTTTTTACAAGCTACAATAAGCAGAAGAAGACACTCAGCTAGCCGCTAGCCCAGGCATGGGCAAACTACGGCCGTTGGGCTTTTTAATCCGGCCCGTCAAATATTGGTACAAAATTGTCCAAAATATAATAAAGACCAGAGCTGGGCAGTATACCGGTTTTAATTTACCGTATGATATGAATTCTTCACACACCATTATACCGGTGCATAGCCAAAACAACTGCTGTCTGCTTTCAAGCTGCTAATGCACAGCGGTCAGCGCTAGTTGTCTTATATGTATTGAGAGGGAACCCTAGTCATGGTCATAACTTTATAACACAACAATTAACAACCCACAACTAATGCTCTTTAACAGAGAAAAACACAACAGTCTGTGACACATAAACAATTTGTAACACTAATAATTGTACATTTTTAAAATTTCACCGCCGAACTGCATGCTGGGTACAGCTCGCGAGCGAGCCTGCTTGCTAGCACAACAGTCTGCTAACAGCTGGGAGAGGCTCCGTCGCTCCAGTAACGTTACATTAAAGAACAGAACAGAGCATGCAGGATGAACAAAGACAGACCGGAGCAGTGTTACATCAGTGTTGCATCATTTAATGAATCATAAACATATGATTTAACCACTAGAGGGCAGCAGTGTTACATCATTGAATGAATCATGAACATTACACGATTTAACCACTAGAGGGCAGCAGTGTTACATCATTTAATGAATCATAAACATTACACGATTTAACCACTAGAGGGCAGCAGTGTTAAATCATTTAATGAATCATAAACATTATATGATTTAACCACTAGAGGGCAGCAGTGTTAAATCATTTAATGAATCATAAACATTACACGATTTAACCACTAGAGGGCAGCAGTGTTAAATCATTTAATGAGTCATAAACATGACACGATTTAACCACTAGAGGGCAGCAGTGTTAAATCATTTAATGAGTAATAAACATTACACGATTTAACCACTAGAAGGCAGCAATGTTAAATCATTTAATGAGTAATAAACATTACACGATTTAACCACTAGAGGGCAGCAGTGTTAAATCATTTAATGAATCATAAACATTACATGATTTAACCACTAGAGGGCAGCAGTGTTAAATCATTGAATGAATCATAAACATTACACGATTTAACCACTAGAGGGCAGCAGTGTTAAATAATTTAATGAATCATAAACATTACACGATTTAACCACTAGAGGGCAGCAGTGTTAAATCATTTAATGAATAATAAACATTACACGATTTAACCACTAGAAGGCAGCAGTGTTACATCATTTAATGAATCATAAACATTACACGATTTAACCACTAGAGGGCAGCAGTGTTAAATCATTTAATGAATCATAAACATTATATGATTTAACCACTAGAGGGCAGCAGTGTTAAATCATTTAATGAGTCATAAACATTACACGATTTAACCGCTAGAGGGCAGCAGTGTTAAATAATTTAATGAGTAATAAACATTACACGATTTAACCACTAGAGGGCAGCAGTGTTAAATCATTTAATGAGTAATAAACATTACACGATTTAACCACTAGAGGGCAGCAGTGTTAAATCATTTAATGAATCATAAACATTACATGATTTAACCACTAGAGGGCAGCAGTGTTAAATCATTGAATGAATCATAAACATCACACGATTTAACCACTAGAGGGCAGCAGTGTTACATCATTGAATGAATCATAAACATTACACGATTTAACCATTAGAGGGCAGCAGTGTTAAATCATTTAATGAGTAATAAACATTACACGAGTTAACCACTAGAAGGCAGCAGTGTTAAATCATTTAATGAGTAATAAACATTACACGATTTAACCACTAGAGGGCAGCAGTGTTAAATCATTTAATGAGTCATAAACATTACACGATTTAACCACTAGAGGGCAGCAGTGTTAAATCATTGAATGAATCATAAACATTACACGATTTAACCACTAGAGGGCAGCAGTGTTAAATCATTTAATGAATCATAAACATTACACGATTTAACCACTAGAGGGCAGCAGTGTTAAATCATTTTATGAATCATAAACATTACACAATTTAACCACTAGAGGGCAGCAGTGTTAAATCATTGAATGAGTCAGAAACATTACACGATTTAACCACTAGAGGGCAGCAGTGTTAAATCATTGAATGAATCATAAACATTACACGATTTAACCACTAGAGGGCAGCAGTGTTAAATCATTTAGTGGTTAAATCATGTAATGTATATGATTCATTCAATGATGAATCATCATTGAATGAATCATATACATTCAATGATGAATCATCATTGAATGAATCATATACATTCAATGATGAATTGAATGAATCATATACATTCAATGATGAATTGAATGAATCATATACATTCAATGATGAATTGAATGAATCATATACATTCAATGATGAATTGAATGTATCATATACATTCAATGATGAATTGAATGTATCAATCATCATTGAATGATGAGGGCATCAGTGTTAAATCATTTAATGAATCATAAACATTACACGATTTAACCACTAGAGGGCAGCAGTGTTGCATGTTCCTCAACGGAACATGTAATGTTTATTACTCATTCAATGATTTAACACTGCTGCCCTCTAGTGGTTAAATCGTGTAATGTTTGTGATTCATTCAATGATGTAACACTGCTGCCCTCTAGTGGTTAAATCGTGTAATGTTGATGATTCATTAAATGATGTAACACTTCTGCCCTCTAGTGGTTAAATCGTGTAATGTTGATGATTCATTCAATGATGTAACACTGCTGCCCTCTAGTGGTTAAATCATGTAATGTATATGATTCATTCAATGATGAATCATCATTGAATGAATCATATACATTCAATGATGAATCATCATATACATTCAATGATGAATCATCATTGAATGAATCATATACATTCAATGATGAATCATCATTGAATGAATCAACATTACACGATTTAACCACTAGAGGGCAGCAGTGTTAAATCATTTAATGAGTCATCAACATTACACGATTTAACCGCTAGAGGGCAGCAGTGTTACATCATTTAATGAATCATAAACATTACACGATTTAACCACTAGAGGGCAGCAGTGTTACATCATTGAATGAATCATATACATTACACGATTTAACCACTAGAGGGCAGCAGTGTTACATCATTTAATGAATCATAGACATTACACGATTTAACCACTACACTGTAGTGGTAGAAAAAATGAAGACGACAGTGGTGCCATACCCCCCCAATTCTAAATGTGTGCGCAAGTACAATCCTGACTTTCTTAACACTTTCAGTGTGTGGAATGTGGGCTAATGCTATCAAACGAAGCACTGAAGCCTTCAAAAATAAAGCGACAAATAAAGCCTGTTGGGCTTCTTGTTGTGTATGCAGGTTTACATACACACGATAAATAAATGTCTTTGTGATCATCACATTGTATCATCTCATTTATTTGACAAGGGTTTTGCCTGTTCAACTCCGCGAGGACACCGGCGTCCTCGATCCCCTCCCCTTCCGTCCCGTTCCTACGGCTTGCTTGCGCAAACTACGTCACAAAACATGGCCGTGTTTGGTATCCCAGCATGCTCAAAACCCTCATCTTTGGAAAGAAATCATCGATTTTCTTTCATTTCTTATGGATTTTTCACAAAAGGAGCCCAAACACACACTGTCCAAAGTCGCCATAACCGCTGCAAGTCGGATCTTGCAGCATTTCGTTGGAAAAAGACACATTACAGACCCAACAATGTGCTAGCGGATGTTACCATGGAGCTAGTAGCTTCAGAAAACGCTAATACTTAAAGTACAAACCTTATCTTCCTGTTCTATAAGCCGCCAACCAATGTTTAACCTTGCGTAACTGAGCTACCCTCATAATTGATCGTGCGCTCAGTTGCAGCCATTACGCACAGCAAGTCCGCTACTTACATACCACGTCTTCGACCATATATATATGTATATATGTATATATATATATAAGTATATACTATATATATATATATATATATATATATATATATAGTTTTTGCAATTTGCAAAGGCTAAAAATAAAATGAAAATAATATAATATCAAAATATAAAGGGAGAAACACCTTTAGTGTGTCAGAATATCATTTGGTTACCGTGTGTCCATTTGGGTCTCCAAATATCCTTTTAGAGCTCCGCCTGGATCTCTTCATGGAAGAAACACTGTAGAATCGTCATACTTTGTCCAATCTTCTTCAAATTTGAGGCAGTTGTTCACTGATAGTGTAGTTACAGCCCTATACTGTCATTTACCTGTACAGATACAGCCACAGGCAGTTATTTATACTGAAAGATACTTTTTTATTTTATGCGGACAAAAATCTTCAATTTTTACTGACTCCAAAGGCCCACTGCTCTGTTTCTATATGACCTACAGGTTTTCTGACACTTGTGGTGCATATAGTCACAGTGGTTCAGAAGCTACAGCCATTTTAATTTGGGTATGTTATTTTAGGCGGTTTTGCTCCACAATAGGGGTGGAGTTGAACAGGTAACAATATAGTTATTGAATACAAATCAAACCAAGAGTGAGATCAATTAGTTAAACTAATAGTGTTAATATTTGAATGGGCCCCGGGACACTTTGTACTTGAAAAGTTGGGCCCCGAGGTCAAAAAGGTTAAGAACCCCTGCTGTAGAGCACAGCCGAATCAATAACCTCTCAAATGTAATTGTAGTAATCAGCTTTAAGACTGTACTTTGTCATGGACTTTGCATTCATTGGCTATTCAGTCTGTAGGTGTTAAACTACTGGCTACAACATACAGTAGAGTTGTGGTTCTGACCATAGCTCACAATACACAGATACCGTGTGGCCAAGAGGCCCAGAAGTGCAGCTCCTTACCCCGTATATACCCCCAGGTGGTCTGTGATCAGCTGCAGGGCCGCAGACGCATCAGCAACTTGCACTAGTGGAGGCCCAAAGAATCAGAGGAGCTACACAGGCCATTTCATCCTGCAGTGTGACTCCAATAAGAACCTGCTGAGCCCTTCACACACACACACACACACTGCCTGGTGTGAAATGACTCATTTCAGCTCATAGAGGCATATAGAAACCATATAGCCTACAGCTATGGGGAAACGGTAATAACATCAGGAAGAGTTTACATTCTACAATTTCACATAAATAACACTTTTTTAAAGTTGATTCCAATGCTGTTTACATATTATCTTAGATGCTGCTCCATATTATTATTTAATACATTCGTATTTATTTAAATATATATTATATATATATCTATATTTTTACACTGTACCTCCTAGAGATCACCTGTCAACCTAAACTCTCACATTTTGAGCTCGAGTTGAAGAACAAGCCTCTTGTTTTGACAGTTACTCAGTGAGGGAGCATGCACTGCCCTAAATCAGCTTCTCATTACCCACCAACTCCAACCAATCTGTGGTAAACACAGTTTGTAAGTGACCACTAAATACACCTGGGAGGCCCGGCTCTACTGCTCTATCAGGATCACTTAGAATGGGAGATGAGTTTTCTATTAGAGTCATTACTGGTGAATTACATGGACCAGCTGCGGCTAAAATAGTACATCAGCTGAAGGAGCAACAAACCACGTCCTGTTAAAACTAGAAAGGAACGTGTTGTAATTGTAGAATAAGAGTGAAAATTATTAGCAGCCCAGTCCCCAGGAACAAAATGTTGGCATTGTAGGTTTTTGCAAACCACAATGTGTCGTCCTAATTCGTAAGAAAGTCTGCTTTTTTCCTTCCACCAGGAGAGAAGATGGGTCTGTCAATCAACGTGTTGCTCACCCTCACTGTGTTCCTGCTGCTGCTGGCGGATAAGATCCCGGAGACCTCACTGGGGGTCCCTATTATCGTCAACTACATCATGTTCACCATGATCCTGGTCACATTTTCTGTCATCCTCAGCGTGGTCGTCCTAAACCTGCACCACCGCTCACCCAGCACCCACCTGATGCCCATGTGGGTCCGCAAGGTGAGGTCCCGGATTAGGTTACACCCTTCCTCTCCATAAAGAGACCAGCAAGTCTTTAGAGTATAAGCTTGGTATACAATGTCAAATTTAAAAGCTTTGTTCACCTAACTATATTCAACAACAAAACCAAGACTGGTTATTAATAACAACAAGACATGATTAGACTCGAGGTAATCCAACTAATTATAGCACGAGTGACATCTAATGCAACCGTGTGCACATGTTATTGTCTTGTAGGGGCCTTCTGATGAGCACGTAAGCATGTGCAGACATGACAACGTGCTCGTGATGAAGAGGAAGAAGTCAATATACCAGAAAAGAAATGAAATAACTTAAGCACAGCATTCATTATGTATGCAGGCAACGCCTCCATCAGGCCTTTAATTAATGAATGTAATGTTAATTACGATGATAATTCTGAGATGTAGGCAATAGTAGTTTCGGTCCAGGCAGTATTAGGTCGGCAGTCCTCAACAACCTGAATGTCATGTTCTACCATTAAGCCCCATCAGTGGTTGTTGCCCTCGATGTACATTATGGGAAGCTAACTACAGGCCTGAGCAGCAGCTCTATACTTTGCTCCAAGTTCTGTCACGCCTTCAGGGAATACTCGCCTCCGAAAGGCTTGTATTATACACAGGTGGTTCGCATGGTTTACTGAAACTAAACTGCTTGGTACTGGATTGATGGGAGAAAAGAACATGACCGGCTCTGCTTCTTTTCACTCCTCCTCCTTCGGACGATCGGTTCCATGAACTGTGAAAAAGAAAGATTTGTACACAAAACAGACATTTTATGAATGTTCAGGTATATGTGTATCTTGTTCCTGACCCCGGAACTCATTGTAATCCAAGGCGAAAACAAGCAACTAGTAAGAGATACTATGCACACCTAAATGTACGCTGTTAGACCCAAACTAGAAAAGTGCACTCAGCGGAGTGCAGAGCTCCACCAGGTGTGTCTGCAATGACCACTGCTGTAATGGCTACCCCCTGGTTTATTACCACACAGGCTCTCCCTTCACTTTTTGCCCAGGAGATGGGAAGCAAGACACCCTAACTTTTTGAGTATTTTTGCAGTGTTTATTCGTGGGCAGACTGTAATCTACCCTGTATGTTTATGGCCACTAGACGACCTCACTGCTCACCTTTGCTTCTGCTCCAAATGCCCCCAGCTGTCTGCCATGAGCACAGTCTCCCTCTCATGCTCAACCACACACTCGCTGCGCACATTTGACCCACAATCATCATGTGCATCAGTGTTGATGGGAAAATAGATCCGTTTATACGACTGATACCTAAGAGCGCAAACTGAAGCAGTTGTTGATCACTGAGAGGAATGAGGAGTCAGCAGTGTATAAAACTCACAATAAAATAGATCAAGACCAGACACTTAATCTATCCACTTTGCGCCTGGTGGGAGATGATAATAATCTCATCTATTCATACTACTAATGCAATAATTATAATCTGAAAAGTAATGGAAACATTGATTTTTCTTCTCTTAGCATTCTTTTATTCCAGGTATTGTACTTTAATGGAATCACTTAAAAGCTGGTGCTGCCATTTTTCAAATTAATCTTCACATCAATGCCAATCATCTTAAATAAGGTAGGAAAACGTCCTGCATTTTGTAATACAATGAAATAAAATGTCTTTCTAGATGAAGGGGAGCTCTCCAGGGGGAAGCCTTATAGTCACGATTAATGATGTGACGATCTTTGGGAAGTATAGCAGGTGTCACATGGGGTCAGTGAGGAAAATGTATGAAAATGTTTTTATCCTAATGGCTGCTTTTTGTGTTGTTTTTCAATCACGTAGTCACTTCACACTGACAACATTCCCTGGATCCTCTCACAGTTGAGCAGGTGTCACAAGTGGAATATTCCAAAAGCAGAGCCAATGTTGTGGATACTGGAAGGTGCTCTGGCTAACCATTCATCAATCAGATACAATGTGGGGAGAATCACACCTGCCGGGTTCTACCTGCAGCCAGAAATTCCCCAGGACCACAGCCAGGACTCAAGTCTCAACATCGTTTTTAGTGTTTTAATTCCTCTTTCAAATCTATTATCTCTTTTATCCATTCTTGACCAGTAGGATAGTCTAAATTTAACATGCAGAGTATCCTTTAAAAATATCCATTAAGTGTAGCCACTAGCATCGTATAACACACTCTGATGTCTTGGATCTCCCTCTGTTTGGCAGCTCTTTGTTGCTGTGATCATGTCACATGTGTGACTCACTGCTCTGCTGTCTGAGGGAAATACGACAGGTGTTGCAGTGTGCTGGGAAACGGGAGGATACAAAGAACGGTCACATAAGGACATGGGCATGTTTGATTTTGAATGACGGCCAAGTCGTGCTTTTTCTTTGAAACGACAATGCAAGTCAAGCGGCTTCAACTCCCGTTACATTCTCCACTGAAGCTGCAGTGCAGTCTGGTCCTCGCCGGTGGGCGATTATTGACATCCATCTGTCAATACAGGCTAGCCAAGAGTTCTTTCAAAAGAAGGATATCCAATCACGTTAAAGTGTAGATAAAAGAGCCGTTAACAGAGCCAAACAGCATTTATGATATTGATCAAAACGAAGATTTGGCTCAATGGTTTCATGCTTTATCTGATTCCATTGAAAAGCAACTCCAAGTCTGACGGCCAGGGAGTACTCCGGTTTTATTAAACATTTATCTCTGTTTTAATAACGCACATCTGGGAGCTGCCCAGTACAACTGAAGTAAAGCTCGGTCTTTGCTGAAGAGCTCCACTGGAGTATCCACACTTAATATTTCCTCCTTTGCTCAAAGACACCTTGAGGGTAGACGTTGAGGAATTGGAAATCATTAGCGATTAGGTTCCCCCCGCCCACATCATTCAGCAGCAACTGCTCTCAAAGGTTATCTCACTGCTAAATTCAGCATTTTCACTCATTCCTCAGCCTTAATAGGCAAATACAGAGCGAGTACATTCCAGCTGTCCAGTAAATCATGAAACAGGAAACCGAACAAATCAGTTTTTATTACCAGACAAGACGATAGCATTTGGAGGTCTGGGAGAGCCAGCAAGCTATTCCCTGGAAGTGGAAACACAGTTAAATAACACAATCAGAAGAAGTGGAAGCGCTAAGAAACTGATTATATTGTAAGTTGTTGAGCCAACTATCTGTCTCCCTAGATCTTCATCCACCTGCTCCCTCCTTACCTGGGCATGCTAAGGCCAAAAGTTGAGACCCCCCTATCCCTGGAGATGATGCCCCGTCGAGAGAAAAAGGTGTTCACCATCAGCAAGGCGGCTGATGAATACTTCATCCGCAAGCCTGACTCCTCCATCCTGTTCCCTAAGCCCAACAGGTGAGACCACAACCCGCTGTGGAGCCTCAAGTGTATGCGTTAGTGGCTGTGCATGTGATTGCGCTTGGGTATGTTTTTTGGTCAATACCATTGTATATGTTCAGGAGTTTTAGCCTCTACACGGCTCTCAACATGGTAATGTCTGAGATGGCAGCTCGCAGCTAACAATGCTAACGGCGCTAACAACTGTGAAAGTGCTGACGGAACTAACAGTGTCTACCGGAGGGGGGGCGCTGAGCTTCCATGACGGAGCCTTCGGTTGGAACGCCGTTATTGGCAGTAACTGACGTTTGAGCTCAGTGCAGAGCGGTGGCGGCGAGCTAGCCGCTGGGGCACACTCACATGCACTAACAGCATGCACGGGTAGCCCGGCTATGTAAACAAAGCAGAGAGAAGCTTGGATTACAACACACAAAGAGGGAGAGTGACTTCATGCTCTGCTCGGGTAGACATTACTCCACTATATCTTTACATAGTGAATAGTTGTCTGCTGCTATATTAATGATCTAAATATCGAATTTAGTACCTTTTTTATATATTTTAGAATTACTCAACTCCAGAATATATTGACTTTTTCGTCTTGGTTTAACAAGACAGACGTGTGACATCAAAAAATCGATATGTAATGCCATTAGGGGTGTCCCCGTCGAATTTGATCGATTGACGCTGTTTGTTGTGTGTGGGTGCATGTGTATGTGTGCTGCTGTTCATTGTACTGAAACAGCAGAGCATACAGACAGAACACAGTTTCATAGCCTGCTTGCTTTTCGTGGCTGTAAACATTTGAGCCTTAAACCGTTCATTACATTTCCCCCTATTGGAGCAATCCACAGACTGAAGGTAAACAATGAGTCAACGAAAGAGATGAGAGACGTTTTGCAAGTTGCAATCAGCTGTTTCTTCCCCTGCCGATTTGACAGAAAATCGTTCAATAATTCAAAATATATGAAGTTCTCTGATACTGCTACGTTCTTATCTGAGTAGCCATTCTTTTTTTTTTTCTTTTTTTTGTTATAGAGGACCTTCAGCCATGACCTCAGCCTATGCAATAGCATCGCACCTAAAAGCTTTAATTTCAGTGCTTATATCCACTTGTAATACATAGTTCATATCTGGATCTCTTCAACATGGGTTGTATGCAAAAGGAGTGACACGGAATGTGTTGGATAGCACTGTGAAATGAAATCCACGCGTTTACATATCGTCTTCTGTGTTCAGGAGTTTGAGGTTGAGGTCTGCGTAGGACGTTATCTTTGAAGTCAGCTGGCCAGCATTTCCTGTTTTCTGAAAGCTTGCATTTTTCTCATGAAATCCAACTCTCAGTCTACATTAATAAACATTACTAGGCATAGCAGTTACCTCAAATCTGCAAAGACCGGAGGTTTAGTACACAATTCCACACTTCCTGCCTGTACTGCAGTCGGTGTTTAGATTTAGAAATCGAGATGCACGAAGAGCTCTAGGGTTAAGGTTGCACTGAGGTCTTTGTGTAAGCACACTTCTCCTTTATGAGTCACATATCGCAGGTGCTGTGTGCAGATAGCACTGTGTCATGTTTTACAAGTTACAGTGTTGAAGTGATGTCAAAGGTGTCTTTGTATTGTGTTGCATAGATGTCAACTGAGATGAGCATGCTAGCTAGTCCCGTCCTGTAATACCACTTGTTAATCGAGGGGCGATAGTGAGTCACTGTAGCATCCTCGGTCCTACATGAGAGGACGAAGAAGTGGCGCTGCCCCGAGGGCTTATCCATCACGTTGAAGATACAGGGTCTGTGTATGTTTTGATAGGTTGTTTATTGTATTCAATTCAAAATGGCAGAAACCAGAAAATGAATTCATAAGCCCTCTATCAGCCGAGTCTCTATACCTGGTTCTCAGGTAACGGCTGACCTTGCTCAGGTTAATTTGGTAGAACGAGGAACTGTACTTTACTGGAAATCAGCGACTATGTGACACCCTTAACTATCCGGCCTCCCTGTTGCTCCATTAATACCTAAAAGCTCCTCCTCACAGTGTGTAGCTGTCGCTCCCTCTCCATCCTTCGCCTCCCGTGAGAAGGGAAATATGTCTGGAGGGAAAGACGGGAGGCGGCAGAAAATCGTTGCTAAAATAATAATGACCCCTCACAAATCGACTCCGACACATCAGAGCGGGACGCTGCGTGTCTAGGTGAGAGAAGAAGGGGGGGGGGGGGCTCTATTAGAGCAATTTGATGAGACGGCAGTATCTCTCTTGAGCCCACACATTCATACACTCCTTCTTAATTGGGCTTAGTGCATGTCTTGGCACCAGACGCAGCCAGGTTTAGTTGAATTAGTCTCCTGAATAGTCATTTACTTCTCGCTGATGAAGTGCTACTTTGAGCCACGCAGGAGAAAAAGTGTGGAGGGGTTAAAAGGCCAAATTGGGTCTCTCTTCCTCCCTCTCTCATCTCGCTCTCTCTCCATCTGATGAGGCTCCACCTCTCTTAGGTCTCAGCCTCTTCACCTGCCACACTCGCAGCAGCGACGGCAGCGCTGCATTGTAAACCACCAAACTGCTGCACTGAATACCAAACAGCTCCATACTCTGCCCAGTTTGTCAGGTTACCTTGCTTTTAATGGTGTCTAGTGAGAGAGATGGCGCCCTACTGCCCTCTGGTGGTGCTCTGCCGGGCCTGCAACTCATTTCATCTGAGTGTTTTTTTGTAAGGTGTTTAATATTTGAGGTGTTTCATAAGAAAACGGCAGCTGTTCCTGCAAAGAGAATAACGTTAATTGGAGTGTTATGCATTTGGACAAAGTCGTGGCAAGGACCAAGAGCAGATGAGTTTTTAGTGACATTATTAATTAAAGCGGAATACTGCTCAAAAAATAGAGCATTATTTATGGTTTGATATTGTTTCATACGACTTTTACAAACAGTATATGCAGGTTGACAATCAATGTGTTTATGGCCTAAACTAAACCGACTAGTAAAAAGCCACAATTATCCTTTAGCTGGGACGTCCTACACAGCGAGCCGTGCTGTATCACTTCTTAATCTTCTATTAGAGTGTCTCACGCTCTACTGGAGGCAACCAAAAGGAAATCCATGTGTCATCTCTCAAGGACACCCTGTACGCTTATGACTTTAAATTCAGCAGGGAAATTGCCAGCAGAAAAGGTTAATGAGTGATGCTTTGAGCTTCTTCAACGGCTGCATTGTGAAAGCAACACTACAAAGATATTGACACAAGAAATAACTCATCCGTCCTCCTGAAAATGAAAAGTTGAATTCATAAGCAATCAGTTGCCCCTTCGCCCCTGTTCAGTACAGTCGGTGGTTTTAGCTGCTACAAGCCTCACTTGGTCGGGTATGCCCTGTAGCTAAGCTGATGTTCTTTGTGATGATTTTGGTAACAAATGAAAACAACTTTGGCCTTCTGTTAGACCTGTCGCGTGAAAAGTTGTGAGTGACAGCAGAGCTGCAGAGACACCCACAGCAACCGCTGGCACGCCATCGCAGCTGACGGCTGGTAACTGAGGGCAACAAGTAAACACAGCAGCACGCACACACACTCACACACTCGCACACACACTCACACACTCGCAGGGCTTTGTCAGCCGGAGCTGCCCAGTCAGCAGATGCAGAGCGGCGACTCCCACGCTGGCAGAGCAAGTCCGGGGAGCTCCTCTGACCTTCTCTTTATTCCTCTCTGAACGACAGCAAAGTAGACGTGCAGCCTGCCCCGTAAACGCTTTACTATTCCACAGCTTTTAATTAGTCTGGACCAACATCTGCTCGCGCGTTGCTCCGTTCTCCGATGGTGACACTTCACGTGCACTGACTACATCTCTCCTGTATCAATCCTGAGACCTATTTGTTGCACCAAATGTTGTGCTTTGTGGATGTTTTCCTGTGACATGACTGTTGATGTGTGCCGTCATCTAGGTATCAGCCGGAGGGTATGTGTACAGATATGAGAAAGTTCATCGACGGCCCCAGTAGCTACCTCACGCTACCTGACGAGCTCAAGACAGCCATAGAGGCCATCACATTTATCGCTAAGGCTCTGCAGGCTGCGAAGGACTACGATGCGGTAGGTTTGCCTCTCTGTGTTAGCTGTAATGCTCCTCAGTCTTCTATCGTTCTCACTTCTATTCATTTTGTTTCTTGGTTCTTTGAGGAGCAATCATTCGGTTTCTGAAATCTTCCCTGTTTTCTTTTCATCCCTTCTGTCTTTTCCCCACGCTCCACACCGCTGCTTGCTTATATCCTCACTCACTCACTTCCCATCCTCTCCTTCTTCTCCCCCCCCCCCCATTCTGTTTGTATGTCCTCCCTTTCATCCATCCATCCATGTCCAGCTGAAAGAGGACTGGCAGTATGTGGCCATGGTGGTGGACCGCATGTTCCTCTGGATCTTCGTCGTCTTCACCACTGTGGGCACCTTGGCCATCTTTACTGACGCTAGCTTCAACCACACACCCACCGACCCCTTCAAAGCCCCCTGAAGCAGCGAGACATTTGTTCTCCTTGAGCTATACCCATCCTGATTCACCAACTCAACAAATAGGGCGGAGAAATCACTGTATTCAACTACCAAAATGAGTCCCTGGGGTGTAGTTCAACATCCGCCAACAATTTAGAACCTCTTATATGTACGTGTTTAAATCTGTCATCAAGCACTGCCAATTTACTTTACTTTCTCTGATCCATAAGTCCTGTGCAACCAGTTCTTGTATTGTCTTCTTCAATACAGCATGATGCTCATTTAGTAACTTATGGTCCCATTTCGAAGGAAATAGACGACAAAACTGGAAATGCTTTAGGGCGTGGCTACCATGTGATTGACAGGTCAACACTCAAGGATTCAAAACGGCAGTCCACCAACGGGTGACGTCATGGTGACTGCATCCCTGTTTGTAAACAGCCGATTTGCAAGTAAATGAATAGAATGAACTTCTGTTGCCTTAATCGTATGGACATGGATATTCGGACATATCTCTTGGCATAAATCATTCATTAAACTAAATCCAAACTGCGTTACGTGTATAAAGGCATTGATGATTGCATGAAATATTCTAACCAAGTCAATGTTGGCGCACCTGGCGTGTGTGTAAAGCTAAGCTACTGGTGTGTTGGTTTTGTGTGTGTGTGTGTGTATTAGCTACAGTAGGAATCTCGGTCTGAGTGTGGAGCCAGAGTTGGATATTCATATGTGGTGTTCACACATAAACACCAAGACAAACCAGACGCTATAACGAGCAAGCTGTATGCCTTTCATTTCCCTCCGTCACAATGTGCCGGAGTGTGGCACATGCTCCGTGGATATTTCTGCAGCCGTAGTAATCCTCTTTATATTTTCGGCACCGGTGTGTGTATGTGTGCGTTTGCATGGCGGCTATTCTGATGTCAAAGTGCAGAGCAGCGTGCCGACTCGGTTCACCAGCTGCACCAAAAGCCTGTGGAATTCCCATTATATAGGAGACCTGTGTCTCGCTTTCTCACAGCACACGTCCGTTTCATCCCACATGACATAAACACAAACCTGCCCTTTCAATCTTTTGTCTCATTTTGTGTCTGTATATTTAAATAAAGATCGGAAGGGAAGATATCAAAGGCTCCATCTGTTGTCACAATGCTGCCGTGAGAGTTGCGACCCTCTGCTCTGCTATGAATAATCCTACACACACACACACACAGACACACTGGTAGTGGTTACCGGACACGGCTGCATGGGCTTCCCTGATATTTCTATGTGTGTAAATACACTCATGCATATATGCAGCGTGAGCTGAGAAAGTCTGCAGTCACTCTCGACAGCTCATTGTGCCGACGGTGCTGATTGAGCCTCGGTATTACAGACCCGGCAGCATTAGCGGCGCCAATTGAATTGCATTTAAATTGCACTCATTTCTATCTTCTATCTAATACTTTGACCTTGCAGGAAACTGTAGCATTGAGAAGACAGATACACAACAACACACATTGGTCATTCTGACTGATGGCTTGCAGGAGAGGATAGCATGACCTCAGAGGCAACAGAAGGAGATAATAGTATTTACTTATCTTGTGTAACAGACAAAATAACTCCACGACCCTCGAAATACAGACATAAGCTTCATAAAAACCAACATGAAGCATCCAAGAAGCAGCAGAATCCAGAGTTCGTTCTCAGGCCTTCACCTCATCGATCATCACACTCATATTCTTCTCGTCTCAAAACTTCCCTCACCATTTCTATGGCAACATCGTCTCTATTTTTGTATCGTATTCAAAATGCTTCTCTTTCCTTGCCTCAAGCTCACCTCAAACTCCAAAACGCCTGAGGTGTTCCTCCTCAGCTCAACTCAAGTGAATCCAGTAGGACCTCTTCAGCACTATTGCCAGCACCTCACTACCAAGAAGTTTGGTATTTCTGGACTCTACTTCGGCAACTTCTTCCTGGAAGTTTTCCCTTCGCAGCATCTGTGGAGCTGAGGCTTTCAGCATCCTTCATTTAAACTCCCATAAATATATTGGCTGTAATGGCTTAGAGACATATTGAGTCACACCATGTCAGCTCTGCTCTGCGGAATGATGTCTTTTATGCTCCTGCAATTTATTATGTTTTTGCTTGCAGCCAATTGCTGCTAGCGTTCTTCGATTTAATGTGACGTGTGATTGGCCAACTACCACAGCTACAACCCATACGGTCTGCGGTGTCGTCTAGGCCGGTGTATTTGACGGGGTTGGCAGTTCCGCATGCTCACCAAAACATTCACCATTATGGTTAGGCTACCACAGTACATACCTGTGGCGTTTGACAGCAATTAATACGGTGGTGGTGGCATTTTACGCAACTAAATGCTTCTGATGGGTATCAAAGGAAGTAGGGAAAAAAGGTATCAAATGAAGTTTTCTATTGGTATCTGTATCACTTAATGGGTACTTACTGTATGTTGGCTATCGTCATTTTTTAAACGATACCAGCACTAATACTTAAGATAACTGTTATTATAGCTGTATGAAGGACTTCAAAGTGGTAGATTGAGTTCCTTCCGTAAACTAATATGACAATCAAACTCACATCCCATCAACAGCCAATTCTACCCTGAGATATATTACACTGCATGAATTCCAGCATTGTCGCCAGACACAACGCAGCCCATTGGGAATGATGTCACGGCACCAAAGGACCGAGGCAGGAGACCAATGTGTGAAGGGATGAAAGAGGTAGAGGAGCTTTTGATTGAACAGGAACAGAATAGGGGGAGAGGTCAACTACAGGATGAAGAAGCCATGGAAAGAGAAATAAGCAAGAGCACCACCTATTAACCACTTCAGCCCCAAACCGCCTCCAATCGTTCCTTAACCAGACAAAGTCCACCCCTCGGTGAACTCCGCCCACTTGTTCTCCCCCCCTAAAATATCTCTATTGTCACAGCTCATTGACATTCCTCTACCCCGTCCCACCCCCTCCACTACCTCTTCCTCCCACCCACCGTCCCAACAGTGCAAACTGCAGATTGGCGAGCACCAACAGGTGCTTGCCCCGCAGGCTTCCCAGTACAAACACATTCCGCCCTCTCGTCACTCCCAGCAATGCGCACCCAATCAGGCCGTGCTTTCACCCATGGAGCCATGGCCCCAAAGAGATGACGGGACAGGAGAGGGAGAGCTGAACAGTGTGTGCTGCTGAAGGTGCCAACTAGCTGCAGTCCTACTGAAGGTGTGCGTGTAGCTGAGAGCCAGAAAGGTGTGTCTTTTTAGGACCCATTGAGATTCCAGGTGAGGGCGCGGAGGGGTCAAAGGGCCGGTATAGCAGAGAGTGGGGCTTCTGACTGAACATAGAAGTGAAAGATGTCATGACTGTCATGATGGGACAAATAAAGATGAGCACGATCATTCATGCGAGGATGAACGTATTTGTCATCGTATGCAGCTGCCTCTGTCTCACTTTTGCTGGTAAGGACATTTCATGGAATGCTCGCTGCATTTGTGTGGATTTTCCTTCATGTGAATTTGGATGTGAGGCATGTAGCCTTTGTTGGCACTAATATCAACTTCTTTTTAACTGTAAACAAACAGAAATATACTGCTGCTGTGCATTTTGAAGCAAGACTTGCATGAGGAACTGCACAGTGGCAGGAAGAGATGGAGAGAAAGGGGGAGAAAAGAATGAAAATATGTCTCACTGCGTTTGACTTTAACTTTTGACCCTATATCGGGCTTGGAGAACTGCCCTGTGCTCGTTGGCTACCTGTTCTCCCATTCCCCTGTCTGTCCCAACACCTCGACCTATTTCCTGTTTGGCTGCCCAGAGGAGAATCCTTTCCACCTCCGTTTTCAAGCTTACACTTTAAAATTGAAGCGTTTTTGCACTCAGGATAGCTACAGTAATCAGACCAGATAACACACGTTTGACATCCCACTGCACTCTGTCATCTCAATTAAATTTGTATTGATTCCACCTCCCCTATTTGTTTTCTTTTTTGTGGATAAAATCATAATTAGAATCGATTTGGGATGACTAGTTCTTATCAGATGATGGGCTTTGACTTTGACCTCTCGCCCCCTCAGTGGGAGTGTAAAGGAAAAGCTGCCCTGCACCGGTTGTTGACCTCCACGGGGGTTATTGTGTATTGTTCCTCTCTGTTCGTGGGGCGATTTTATAACTATTTCCCCAAAGACAAGAGCTAACAGCAACAGAATAGAGAGAAGAGAAACACAGAGGAGAGGGGGGGGTACCATGGAAGTCCATGTCCTGTCAAAGATGTTTAACTTGATTAGCTGGAAAATCAAAAAAAAACAAGACTGCCTTATTCGGGAACATATAATGAATCATATTAGCACACCATTGTCTATTTCTGTCCCCGATGGAGCCGGTATCCGAGACATGCCTTTGATGCCGTTCCCCTGCTGCATATCAATTACATTAGCTCAGTCACCTTTGCTACCCGTCGTACGCCACCAGCACCTGACCTGCCGACTGCTTCTACTGCGTGTCCTGTCTGTCCTTCTCTGTCTTTTCCACGCGTCGTTTTGTCCCATGTGACAGTCCGTCATCAGTAGGTACTAACGCACTTTTTTGGAAGCGGATTGCGAAATACCAAATTCTGTTGCTGAGGTTCCTCTGCAAGGTGAACAGATTCGTACTGAACAACACATTTTGTTTTCTCTCTTCCACATACCTCCAGTGTTCATTTCCATATCACAAAGTAATATTATATACACTATGCTGTTTGCATGACACTATTAGAATCAGTCCACCCATACTAAGTATACATGAGCATACACGGTATATTTTTAGCAGGCATCATCCCTGTAGGAATTGAACCCCTAACCACTGGAGGCCTGGCCCACTGATCCGCGTGCTCTGGTTGTGCTGCACTTTATCCCATTTTAACAGCGTTGGTCTTTTACCTTCATTTACTCTTGTCATAGCTGTTCTGCTTTAATCCACTTATTCATCAATCAATCAAATTGTATTTGTACAGCAATAATAAGACAATTTGACACGGTAAAGATTTACAATAAAACAATATGAGACACTTGCACACACAAAAAGTAACATTATAGAGATGTAGGATGTGAAATGACAGAATTATAAAAAAACTGACAAATACAATATTAACATAAAGACAAGAAAACTGTTTCAGTCCTAAATATATCAGTAAAACCAAACTATGATGTTCTGCTCCACTATTTGGTAGAGCACATTTAGTTTCACTATCTTATGTGTTGAACTGATTCAGCCAAATCTACCACTCAGTTTATGTCACGCAAAAAACATTCCCCTTGTTGTTGCTGTCTTTAACTAGCGTGCCTTCTCAGTCCTTAGAGGACGGAAACAACAAAAAGTACCTCCAGATATCAGGATTAGTCTCATTTTCAATGATATGTTTTTTTTAACATATCATAGTTTCAGAGGACTTACTAAATAGAATTAATTAACTTCATACAAAAAGTCTAATAAGGGGCAAACAATTTTCTAAATGCATGCTCTAATAAATTGTCCTTTTGTGGTACAGGTAGTAAAGCTAATGGAGTAATTCAAATTGACTACAGTATTTGCCAATAAATAAAGAAACTTGTGATCATTCATTGTTTATGATACATTTAATGTTATTTCATCATATAGGCCTCAATAATTTCATAAATATTATGTTTTACTGTCAATGAACATTCACGGTTTTTAATAGCATATGTTAAATGTTACTCAGTCTGATTTTTCACCATTGCTGAGTTGTTTTCAAAGAAGGTAAATATCTAGAATGAATACATGGGACTAATACTACTTCTGGTCATTTTACTAATTTCATGGCAACAAATTGACATGTTGGTACACCAACATATTACGAGCATAATAACAGTACATGGCTTGTATTTTACTTGTAGTCAAATGTTTTTTTGTACATTTCACATATGAGATGTTATATTTCAATCAAAATAAGGCTCAGCCTTTCTTCCCTTACTCTTATCAGTTTTTGTTTTTCTATTTCTTTATTGCCTTTCATTTGTTCACTCACCTTCTATTTTATGGGTGGTGGTGGCACTAGATTCATTAGGTATCTCTTTCCTCATCATCATTTCTGTCTCTTTGCATCGGTCCTCTCATCCAGGAGCCTCAGAAATGGAGAGGAGGCTCCATCAAAAGCTGTTTGAGAACTACAACTTGAAAGTCAGACCAGCTCCTCACTGGGAGGACAAGGTGATGGTTCGAGTGGGGATGACCCTCTCACAGCTCGTCAGCCTGGTAAACACACACACACACACACACTATTGGCCAGATCGCTGCTGGGTGCAATTAGTTTCCATAGAGCAGGATTGAAAGTAACATCACTGTCATATACAACAAGATATTGGCGCATCACTAACATATCTCCTCGTCTCTCTTTCTCTGTCTCTATCTCTCTCTATCGCTACAGAACGAGAAGAACGAAGAGATGACAACCAACGTGTTCATGAACCTGGTATGAGGATGAAAACATTCGTCTTCATCACTGAGCCACGCTCTGCCGCTCCAGCTCCTGTCTCCTTCTCTCTCCGCTGCTCGCTGTCGCTCTGGTCCTAAAATGGACTTGTCACTTTTTATAACCACAAATAATTTCTTGCTTTATCTCTCTTATTCTCGGTCTCGCTCTTTCATTTCTGTCCCTCTCCCTCGCTAATTAGAATTCAGGACTGCTTGGGTGTGTGTGTGTGTGTGTGTGTGTGTGTGACCGCGGTGTGTGAGTGGCTGTCTAGATCAGTGGGATTTAAATGACTTACCAAAGACAAGAGACACTAGGATGTAGATGACGGGGACATCGGGGCACCGTAGTAATGATTTCACCTCTTGTCTGCTCCTCTGTGCCTGTTATTCATTTTTCATGCTCTCTACTCCCTCTCTTCCTTGCTGCCTTTCTTCCGTCCTTCTTTCCTTCCTTCCTAGGCATGGATAGACTATAGGTTGTCATGGAAGCCAGAGGACTATGACAACATTGAAGTTTTGAGGATTCCTCCCAACAAAGTGTGGCGTCCGGACGTCTACCTCATAAACAAGTGAGTGTCACACAGTCATCCATGTCATTCATCATGAAGTAACTCACAGAGGGCTTACCAGCAATGCAAACATGCAATAGCAGCGTGTCTCTAGAGATGTCAGTGTCCGTCTGACACTCAGTCACAGTCCAGATTGAAATATTTAAAGGGCCAGTGTGCCGGATTTAGAGGGATCTACTAGCAGAAATGGAATAGCACTTTAGCAATATCAGGTTTTCACTACACGATTATCGTGTCCTATATAATTCACGTTATAGATAAAATTGCAATTATCTATGGAAGACTTTGTTTATTGTGTGTATTGTCTCTTTTTGGAAAATTCAATTACACTTAAAATACAAGTATATGAAAGTGGAGAGAGTCTGGAACCATGACTGTGTATGAAATGATTTAAGAGGTGCTTGTTATTTACATAATTTTATCATATGTGTATTATTAACATGATATTAATGTTTAATTTTTACATATCACGGTTATAGTCAATAACAGAATTACCGTGACACCCAGAGAACACAATGTGCACTATTATGTCTTCATTAGTGTATAATCACCTGAAGGTAACAGGTGTGTTCTCGTTAGAGTGAGCCCCTCATACCTACAATGGGAGTGGGTGGGACAGAGTCTGCCATTTTGCACCGCCATGTTTCTACAGTAGCCCAGAATGGACAAACCAAACACTGGCTCTAGAGACAGCCTTTCACGAGTAGCAGCTTGAATTTGGCGGCGCTCTTGGAAAGCTTTATTGTTAATTGATGTTCTAACAGCGGGTGATTTGAAACATGGAGGTGGTGACACATCTAACAGACGATCGGCCCAATATGCCCCCGTGTCATTTGCTGTTAACAATGTTAACATGTTTGTGTATGTTCATATCCACATGTATGCCCTGAATAATGTTATTAACAGTGTTCAGAAGTGATTGATTTCACATGACTGACATGGGAAATGTCATGTCACACTAACGTGTCTACAATACGAGCCTTGTCTCTCCCTACAGTAATGACGGTCAGTTCGACGTGGCTCTCTACGTCAACGTCTTGGTTTACAATGATGGGACAGTGAACTGGCTTCCACCAGCTATCTACCGCAGCTCCTGCTCTATAGAGGTAGCCTACTGTCTCTAGTTGTATGGCAAGCTAGGAAGGACAATGTATGGCCGATTGTACTACTGTTAAATATGCAATAATACCTCAGGTTTAACTTCATCTCATATTTTCGTGAAACTTCATCCAGAAGTCCATAAGTGTGAAAATTCCCCTTTCCTAATGTCCACTCCCACAGGTGTCGTACTTCCCATTTGACTGGCAGAACTGCAGCATGGTTTTCCGCTCGTACACCTATGACGCCTCTGAGGTGGAGCTGCAGTACTTTCTGGACGATGAAGGCAAAGAGATTCAGGAGATTGTTATAGACGAGAACGCTTTCACTGGTTGGTGCCTGCATTTGATTTTATCCGGAAGCTGTAGCCCTGTTTTTTTTTTTAAATGTCTTCATCATCATATTAATGCATGCTCAAAATATTTATAGTAATAATAATAATTCTTTGTATTGTGTCTATTTCTCCACAGAAAACGGAGAATGGGCCATCTGTCACAAACCCTCCAGAAAGAACGTCAAGGAGGACCTGTACGAGGACATCACCTTCTACCTCATCATAGAGAGGAAGCCTCTCTTCTACATCATCAACATCATCGTGCCCTGCATCCTCACCGGCGTGTTGGCTATATTTGTCTTCTACTTGCCTCCTGGAGCAGGTCAGCACATCGGACATGTTCTGATACTGTGACTCCACATCACCACCGAGATGGAATGTAGGAAGGGGCGACTGCCCATTGATACAATGTCTAATGTCGTGTCTAATACAGACTAGGCAGGGCAGCCTTTGAAGGAGTGTATTGATATACTATAGATTGAACATTTGAAACATGTTTAAAGACAAAGCCAATTCATCAATTGCCACAGCAAAAGGTCTCGTAATCATGCCTTAAAGTTTCCCCTTGTCAACATGAAATAGAAGCCAGTAATATTTGCTGCTTCACTGTTCTAATGAATTCTCCCTTTATGTCTGCAGGAGAGAAGATGACTCTCTCCATTTCCGTCCTCATCGCTCTCACTGTTTTCATGCTTCTGCTGGCTGACAGGGTCCCCGAGACTTCCCTTGGCATCCCAATTATTGTCAACTACGTCATGTTCACCATGATCCTGGTCACTTTCTCTGTCATCCTCAGCGTAGTTGTCCTCAATCTGCACCACCGAACGCCCAGCACGCATATCATGCCGACCTGGGTTCGAAAGGTGAGGCTAGGTTTAACAAATTCACTGTGCACCCTTCTTTGAGAAACCTGATGTCTCTGATTTCTTTACCTCAAACGTACAGGTGTTCATTCACTTCCTGCCCAAGTACATCGGCATGGAGAGGCCAAACCCAGAAGAGCCTCTGTTGAAGGAGGAGGAGTCTGGTGATGACTCGCCCATCAGAAGCTTCAATGGCCGGCAGCCTGGAGGAGAGTACTTCTTTCGAAAGATCAACCCTGATCTCGTCATACCCTGGAGGGGCCGGTAGGTCACTCAGCTTAACCATTCGAAGTGTCTCGTTTGATCGAAATGAAAAAAGTACATTGGAAAAGCTGCGAACTGGCAATTTGTTCCGTCGATAAGGTGTTTTCCAATCGCTGACTAACTGGGGAAATGTTATTCTGGTTATCTGAGGAAAGAACCAAAAACAAACAGAAGAGAATTTTGCGCGCAACACATAGAATTCTTCCCAAATTGAAACTGTATTAATGGTGTTGTGATTATATCGAACCTCTAAGGCTCCTGAGACCAAGTCTGATTGAAGGCGTCACATGAACAGAAAGACTACAGCGTGCACAAGGGTGATACGCAGACAGAGATGTAATATAAAATGCATTTTGCTCTGCCTTCGTAAAAGCACTGTAATAAATGTGTCACATTTAATTATCATTTCTTGTGTGCGCAAAGAAAATAAAATCTGTACATAATAAACCACAAAATACTGAGAATGAGCAAAGGCTCCAGAGATGAACCCAGCTCTTGGGTTGAGTTATTGGGAGACGTTAACTGCCACAAAGGTTATCGTGCCTATATTCTTACCTGTCAAGACTGTTAAACACCACAGACCTGAAATAAAACCCATCAGAGTCATTCATCCGGATTCAGCCGCTTTCCACTGCTAAGATGTGCTGATCCTCGTTACACTATAACAAAGCTATTTCTATTAATGCTAATAAAATCCAGCGCCGGGCATGAATCTTCTTTTTAGAGTGCGCCAAAGTGTGAATGTTGTATCCGATGCCAGGTTAGCTATTATAGTAAGGCACACGGTGTGCTAGACTTGGCAGAAATACAGCCATCACCCCAGCAGCTCAGACAATCTGTGAAGACGGTAACAGTACGTGACCTTCCTTCAGCATCACAAATTGAATACAGCCACATGGAAGGTACTCTGACGGATGAGAAAAAAGGTTTAATGATTCAGCTGGATAACACCAGAAAGAAAGTTCATAATTATCGTTTAGAATTATTTATGTTGTTATTAATTTGTTTTGCTGTATTTTTTTCTTTTTAAACAAACCTGTACGCACAAGCGTGAGAACAATGTTGGACCGTCATAAATTGGTTCACCACTTCTATTATTTGATGGATTGCCCTGACTGAATGATTGTGACTCTGCTGTTCTTCTAGCACCACCATGGTGAGGTTGACATTAATGGTTTGGAACGAAATGCTTCAACAATCCAATGGATCATCACCACATTTGGTCCAACGTGTTTAGTGCCAATAAGCAAATGTTAGCATGCTAACGTGCTAAACATTGCCTGCTAAACATCCGCATGTTTACATCGTCATTGTGAGCATGGTAGCATACTGACAGCATTTAGCTCAAAGTGCAGCCGTGCCTAAATGCAGCCCTGCTAGCGAGGTTTTCTTTCTCTTTCTTGAGGCCATTTTTCATGCAATTACCTCTTGTTGCTGTGTTTCTGTTCTGACTGTTTTTCAAGATCGGCTGTTAACTAAGCAGCACGTGCAGGATGTCTTTTTTACTATTTTCTGTTCATGGAATTGGAGTTTCTGTAGCTGGTGATCTTTCTTTGTCTGTTCTCAGTTTTCCGCCTTGATATTCTGAACCAGAGCCGGGGTGTTTAGATCACCACATAAAGGAACAGTGTACAACATTTAGGGGGATAAATGGGCAGAAATGGAATATAATAGTCATAACTATGTTGTAATCAGTGTACAATCACCTGAACTTTAAGAATCACTATGTTTACGCTTAAAAAACGCCATTTAATTATACATGGAGTATACAAGACGAGTGGGTCATCTTCCACGGGGTCCACCATGTTGCACTGCCATGTTTCTACGGCAGCCCAGAACGGACAAACTGAACACTGGTTTTTACATTATCTGAAGGTAGAGATGTGAACTGAAACTCGGTATTAAACAGGTCTTGGCGTATTGATAAGCCCAGATGTTACTGATGTTTTTATTAGTCCTAGAGCTTCTCCAGCTACACACACACACACACACACACACACACAAATGCACACACACGAGGCCGTGGTGGAGACAGTCAAGTGAGGTTTACTCGAGTTACGGCAACTTCGCTCATTACTGTTTCTGCAATAAAACATTCACGAGTAAAAAGCCAAAACTTTATCAATGCATCTGTTCAACAAGCATGAACGATGGTAAAACCTAATTCAATGGGCCCTGTCCACAGTCTCCTCCACCGCCGCTATGTTTACACAAACACAGCACGCACGCTCGGCTAAACGCAACATTTTACCAACAAGCTACAGAAGCTCACTGTCTGTAGTCCAACGGTTTATCTTAGTTTGTTCTTCTCTGCTGGCTGAGACCAAGCAGCCGGGAGAACAGAGGACAGGAGGAATGACTTTTATTAACGTTATTTATTTTATTTACATTTTAGATTTGTTTCCACTGAGATATTAATGACTTTATATCATGACTCTGCTGTTATAAACAAATACTGTTGTTGCTTTTTAGACAATATTTAGTTTTATTTAAAATATAAATAAATTCTAATCCTATTCTGAATGTATTAGTTTTTATAGAGTTATATAAATGTTTTTAAAAGTAATTACTTCGTCATGGAAAAGAACCAAGTATTGATGAGAGTAGCTCCTTGTAGTAATACAATCCCAAAGATACCGCTCCCTACCTGAAGGCCACCGTAGGGAAAGGAAGGAAAAATAAATCAAGGACAAAGATGTGCAAAAGTATCAACAATAGCTTAAATACATGAGTTTGTATTGTTGTTTTATTTTTTACTGAAGACTGCTCATATACATGTGCAGTGGTAGACAAGTAAATCCTAGTGAGGTCGACATAGTGCAATAATGCGTTGCTTACCGTGTTGTCCCTCTAACCATGCTGACTTCACTCTGGCTAATCTGCCAGTAGGCTCCAGCCTTGCCACCCAGCGCTGGCATCATAAACGGCTCCACGGTGCTCTGAAGCAGGCCCTTTGCTGGGCATCTCTCATCCCGTTCCAAAGGCATCATATTCAGCCCCAGCTAAGCCCCACACCCGCGTCCACAGTCGCCAGCCACTAAGCCTCTGTTTAGTTTGGACATTAGGGGGTAATCCCGCAGAAAGGAGGTGGAGGGAGCGTGAGCAATAGATAGGGGTAGATGAGTGGAAGGGGAGGCCGGCGATGAGTGATCGGGGCAGAGGAGGATTTAGTCGTTGTTACTGTGGATGAGATGGTGGTCGGGCAACCATCACTAGTCCGTGTTGTGTACTCTTTACCTTCATTCATCTCTCTTTATCTTGTTATTCGGTCAGAGACCTGGTTAGAAGCCAGGTGATGTCCTTTAAAACACATTTATGAGCATGTTTGTGCGTCTCAATTGGGGCGTATTTAGTTGATATTATGAATTATTCTATTACTCAGTGCACACATGTAAATGTATACACACATACACAGCAACAGTGCTGTGCAAGTGCTGGTGTAAGGGTGTGTGTGTGTGTTTGTGTCGGAGTGAGAGGGGCTCCGTGTATCCGCAGTAATGAAAACAAGCCGTGGAATGTGGGTGGCATGCAGCACGTAGAGCGCCACATAGCTCAGCCCTGAGCTGTGGCCACACACACACACACACACACACAGCACCATTCCTACGGGAGCTCATCGGTCGCTCACTTTTATTGTGCTGCAGTCCATCTGTTGTCACGCTATCTCGCTGTGACTCTGATAACTTGTCCTGCTTCTTCACTGACGCCTTCCCCTCTCTGCTGACGGAGGTCCTGCGCATTAATAACATCATGCATACCCTGTCTTGTATATTTTAACCTTGACTTAAAACAAGGCAATATGTTGTAAAGCCTGCTTTTACTGAAATGTATGTTAAAAATGTAGAAAACTGTATTAGACGGGAACATAGACATGCAAGTGTGACAAATACAGTTATATACTGTATATATGTGGTTGTTCTACTCCTCTACTTCTTTGTTTACTGTATGTTACATTTTCTCATGTGTGCTGCATGTACAATATTGATGGATTACTCCGGTTGTAATGTAAAAGACATAAGTACGTAGTATTCAAGAGCTGCAAAACAGCCGAAATCATAGCGACTGGTCCGCAAGTTCTTACTGATCCGGCCACGATGCGAATTAAATATGTTTTTAAGTTCAATTTAGTTTTGTTGTGACCAGCGCAGAGTGAAAAAACATGGCTTGCATAAACTTGTAAATCAAATTTGAAAGTACCCAAAAAATGAAGCATGAAACATTTAAAAAGTGGAGATAAAACTTTCCGCTAACACTCAGGGAATGCAAAATGCATCCACGTTTTACAAGAGGTGAGGGGTGAATGGGATGATGGGAAGCACAGGGCAGCAGGATGAAGTGGACTCTGTAAACAATTATCACTCTATTTAAGTGTTTGCTTCAACCTGTGTAACTGTGGTCAGACACCAGCGCCTGTGACCTGACCTGCTGTATAAGAACAGTGTATACTGTTGGGTCAAGGGTGCATGAATAAATAAAGGGTGAGTCTGAAGAATGACCGTCTGAACACAATCTACACACAGGCTACACATATATTCTGTGTTACTCTTTATTTTCACCCGAATTATTAGAAAATATAATTATTTTTATTATTGTTGTTGTTATATTTCCACATTCTGATTTCAAGGATACACAAATGTAGAGGTTCTTTAAATGCCTCGGGTATAATTTCCAAATCATTTATTTACGGTGGAGCAGTTCTGCTCAGAAGCATGAAGGCACTACAAGAACGCTGCCTTGAAGACTCTCACTCCTCATATGTTTTGCTTTGTGGAGCAGCTGTGTGAGGGGAAGAATGAAGAGGTCAGAGGTCACGGCTTCACATGAATGTTGACCCAGTGTTGTGTCGGTGTCACCCCCTGCGTCAGTGCTGCTGCTGTCACTCAGCGTTCAGAGGACCTGCGTGATCTTGTCGGGACACGTGCTGTCCGCTCAGGAGCGCCGACGCTGACATCTACATCTGTACCGCGTGTCCTCCACCGGACAGCTAATGTCAGCGGGGGGGTTGTGTCAGCGGAGGTCAACAATGCTGTGCTAGTGACTCCTGACATGCGCAGCATCAATCTGAGCTCAATGAGCATTTGTGAGGGGTGTTCTGTAACTTCTGAGCATTAGTATGACATTCTCAAAGCTCAATTTGCAATTTGTATATTTCTTATATTTTTATTTTTATTTACAGATAATAGTATAAAATACAAAAATACAATAGGATTGATTAAAATAAAAAATTTAAATAATAATAAAATAACGGGATGTAATAAAAGGAGATTTGGTGCAGCAAATGACTCATAGGTTGGCACTTACTAATAAATAATTAAAAGCATAGATGTATTAATTATAAAGTATTGTAAAGACGGATGTTGTTAACAGTGATATGTTAAAGCACCAGCACATGCGTAGGTGTAGAACATTTTTGGGAACTTGGGCCGAGGTTTTAAAGACTCATTTCCTCGTTGCCCATCTTTCCACCACTGTCCCACTTGTTTTGTTTCAGGTGTGAGAGCACGGTGCACCTCCAGCGGCTCCCGGACACTGACAGCTACTGTCTGATCCTCCCTCCCAACCTGAAGTCGGCCATCTCTGCCGTGACGTACATGGCCGATCAGCTGAAGAAGCAGGACACGGATGACACGGTGAGAAACGCGCACAAACCCGCAGCGTGCTGTCAGGGCTGCTTGTTGTTCCGTCTGTCTGCAGCTCTCGAGCACAGAGTGTTCCAAACATGCCCCGACAATGTTCATGTGCTATTGCACACATACAGCACATTGCTGACTCAGTGCTTACAGTAAGTGCTTTAGTGTGTGCGTGTGCGTGTGCGTGTGCGTGTGCGTGTGTGTGTGTGTGTGTTTTTCTTCCAGATGACAGGGGACTGGCAGTACATCGCCCTCGTGGTGGACCGTCTCTTCCTGTGGTTGTTCGTCATCATCACCACTCTGGGCACCCTGGCCATGTTCTTGGATGCTAGTTTCAACTACACGCCCGACAACCCCTTCCCTTAGAAGACGAAACACAAATACTCAAACACAGTCGGAGCTTTTGTTTGATCCATTGTTTGCTCGTCACTTCTCTCTTATTGGTGATTTCTGAGATCACCGGATTTGACTTTCCATAACACACCTATTCCATATTTCTGTGGTGAGCGTATGAAATGTTCTGTAAGGTCATATTTGCATAAAGTAGAACCATATACACACAATCTACATAACAGAATCCATGTGTAGATTTATAGAAGGTAAATGTGGTGACACTCATTGGTTTTGCATTATTTTTTTTGTCTAAATCATGTATTGAACACATTGTGTTACTTGTTTTTGTTTCAGTCTGAAAGCTTGAAATACATTTGTTCTCGTAAGTGACGGTGTTTGTGCCTTCTGTGCTTTGTGGAACATTGTCCTCTGCATGAACAGTGGTTACACTCAGTGGTTGTTATGTTGGGCTGTGGGCAGTAGAGGGCGGTAACATATTCATTCAAAAGAGGAGAACAGTGCTGTTGAAAGGGCTGCCAAAGGTAGATATTTCTACCTATACTATATGCAGAGACAGCAATAAGTATTTGGTCAGATGATCGTAAACGCCTTGAAGTCTACAATGTTCTTGTATCTTTGGGTCAATATAGCACAGACTAATCCTGGCTTAACTTTACCCAGTGTCCAAAGGTAGAGTCATCTATCAAAGTCAAGTTTGCTGCCCAAAGAGCACACATCTCCATGATAGGATGGGGTGAACATCAGATGTTTTTCATCAGATTCAACAGCAGCAGAGAAATCCACAGCATGCTCCTACGATTACAAAGGAAGAGTAAAGAAGTGCAGTTGTGTTGTGTCCCTGCTCATATTGGTGTTAAAGACTGATGAACAAGCAAATGCATTGGCAGAGAAGGCTGTGAAAGTATATGACAACAAAATGATTGAAGCAGCTTGTGGTAGGAGCCAAATCATGAATTAGAACAGCCGTGATCAGCACTTGGCAGAAGGAAGGGGATAAGCACAGAGAGGATTTGGAACACATGATCATGCATTGCAATAAATATCGTTCAGAGATGGAGCATTAAGAAATATAGAACATGAAACGGGGCAGGAGTAGAGTTTATAAACATTTCTGAGTACAGGTCTTCAGGGAAACTAGAGGGGGGGTTGGTAGTTTATATAATACAGGCAGGGTTAGGAAATAGGGTGGAAGTCTTTCATTCTTAGCCTACTTTACTTACTTAACTTACTTACGTACTTAATAACTTTACTTCCTTTACTTACATACTTTCTTTACTTACTTAACTTCCTTCCTTACTTAACTTTTCTTTTTTACTTACATACTTACTTACCTTAGTGCCATGACTCTACACCCTCCCATACAGTAGGTGGCGGTATGCAGTTGTAGTTAGTTTGTGATCTAATAAAGACACAGCTGAAGAAGACATCAATTGGATACATCCTGAGCTCAATAGGCTTCGGCTAACGACAACAACTACTACTCCTTTGAATACGGAAAAGCGGATAACTAATCAATCACTTGAGACATTTCTTTATTAATATTATGAACTCACTACAGAAGCCCCCGTTCCAGGCTGGGTTATAGAAAGGGGACAAAGCACAGCCAAAATATAAAGCCCACATGTCGAAAAAAGTCATAGCAGTAAAATGTAAATTGTGTAATCTTTTCTTCCAATCAGAGCAGTGAAATGTGCCACCCAAAAAAAAAAATAATTTATAGAAAGACTTATTATTTGTCTTACCACCAACTAATTCAGTTCAGAACAGTTTTAAGGTCTTAAATCCATCAATTGACTCATTCCCAAACTCAGGTGCAGGTGAGATTTGGGTGTGGCTATAGTTACAACACAGTACACGGGATGCAACATATTAGCATTTGAATATGAATTTGCAAACATAGACAGCTTAACAATGTTAAAAGACTCATTTGTGGAGTTTCTTGCAACAGCTTAAACTTTTGTTGTGACTTGTTGCATGTATGATTTATAATATCTGCACAGCAATAGACAAAAAAATTCTTTTTTAATATACAGTGTTGTATCATTACTGCTAATGGGTCATAATGTGTGGAGTTTAGTGAAAACTGTGCCATTGAAAACATGATGAACGCTGGACTAGCAAATAGTGAATTCATAAAAGGAGACATTATCTGCCCTTGAGAATAGAACAGAACAGAATAGAATGCTGGATGGAACTGGAAGACAGCAGAGTTCTCGAATGAAATAGAATGTTGAGGTGTCAACACAGCAGGGTTCTTGAATATAGGTGTCATCTTGTGTATGAAGCCAGGAGCTTGTGCAAATTAACCTCAGTATCTTCCTAAACCTCCCAGAGGACACCTGGACAGCTCCGAGGCTCTGAGGTAGGCCCCGGCAGAACCACTGGCCATAGCGTCTGCAGAGCGTCTGCAGACAGTCAGATTTCACTCTGACGACAAAGCATGGCGCTAATGTTTATAACGTTATTTTATTCGACTGTGGTCAGGCTTCCTGTGGGGAAGCTCTCGAGCTATCAAGAAGTACAGTCACACGGCGCTGTGAAGTCATGGCCGAGGATTTGACACAGCAGACTGCGAGTGTTTCTCCCTGCAATTGGACGAGTCTACGGATCTAAGTGATACAGCCCAGTTGTGCATTTTTATTCGGATGGTGTTTACAGATATGACTGGAAAAGAAGAGCTGCTAACAATACTGCCCATGAAAGAACACACTCGGGGAGAGGACATTTTTCAGTCTTTAAAGAACATTAAGTCCAAACACCGTTCCACCATAACTGATGATCATTTGGAAGTCTGCTTGAGGCTGGCTACCAGCAGCTACTGTCCGGACTATGCAACTCTGGCCAATTCCATTCAGTGCAAGTCATCAGAGTAAGGTAATGACCAAAAATGTACAGAATTGTATTGTGCCATAAGGGTTCATGCAGTTATGCAAGGTACGCCAACATATATTGTAAATATAAAGTATACTCAGTATATATATATAAATTAATAGATATTTAGTATTTTTAATGTTGTAGATCATTTTGACTTGGTCATTTTAAAAGTAGCTCGCAAACCGAAATAGTGTGGGCACCCCTGATCTAGATCTTCAGCCTGCCCCTACTGTCTTCAACAACTCCACAGAAGACACCTGGAAAGCTCTGAGGCAGGCCACGGCAAAACCACTGGTCATAGCATCTGCACAGTCAGCATGCTGCGTCTGACGACAAAGCATGCCGCCAATGATTTCTAAAGTTATTTCATTTGACTGTGGTCAGGCTTCCTGGGGGGGCTCCCACCCATCTCAGTTATGCTGGGACGGTGAACTTCTGTTGACGTGAAGGTCTATCATATGGCTAATTGGCTCTTTGTGCTTTCTCTCCTCACAGGTTTCTATGGATCATCGTTATATCTGGACGCTGGTCGTGCCTCTGACGTAGTTGTGACATATGCAAGAGTAATTTCCCTGGTTATCCTGATCGTGACAGTGAGCGTGAACTGTCGGGGAGAGACAGTCGCGTATCTCGCCGACTCTCTCTCGAGAGACAGTCGGGGAGATACAGTCGCGTACCTCCTCAGTCGGGGAGATACGTGACTGTATCTGAGCAGGGGCTGGAGAGAAGGACAGAGCCAGGACGGGCAAAACCACCAACCCACTAGAAAGTCTCCGACCTCCCTCGAACTTCTCAGACAGTTTAAGTGGTTTGTCAGCTTTTATAATTTCATAAAGAGGTCATTCTTTACCTTCAGGTTATTTTATAAGTAGTAAATCTCTTGTTGTCGGACTGTGGAGGTCCAGTTTGGTGGATAAGTCACACTCTGTCTGTGTACCTTATCAATTACTTTTTACAATCAGTTCAGTAGTTTACTCATTTAATATTACCACCATCCAGATGAAGAAAGTTGCTATACAATAGAGCGAGGAGTCACTTGGTAGCAGTAGTAAGTCATTCCCCTTAGCTCCCCAACCTCCTGCACCCCAACATCTGCTGCCATCACCCCCGGCTCCTGTGCCTCGGTCTCCAGCCACAGCAGCCTGGCATCAGGGTCTTCATCAGAGAACTGGAGCAGAGACCCTGAGCTCCGCAACACCTTCAAACACTGCTTCAGCACCTGATTGGCCTTCCATTTCCCTTCCTTAGACCTCAACAAGGTGTCTGTGGTGCCCTTATCAACTAAACATCGAACAAAAAGTTCGGAAATTCGTGTTTGGTAGATTATTTCTCTGTTGTAACAATGCTTCTTGGCAATGAATTTTATACCGTTGGAAAGCCTGTTTAGTTACCTTTCAAACGGTGCCCCATTTGTAAGGAACATGCATTTGTGGGATGAGCAGGACAGCTGAGTATGTGGGTTGCACCCATGAAAAATTTGCCAAATCTCTGCCAGTGATTATCTTCACCTGTGGCCTAATTGACAGCGGCACTACGCCCCCAAGTGGTGGGAGGTTGTATGAAACAAAACAATAACAAAATGGCTCTTACAACAATACTTACTCAAACTTTGAGCCCCACATTTGAAAGTAGTGGTGATACTTCTCATTATTCTCATTTCTCACTAAACGCGGAAAGTTTGTCCGAGGTTTACAGTATAATACATTCCACAGCTATACTGTAGCCAATTTCATGCTTACTGAGGCGCAGCATAAAGCCACAGAATCTGCCATTGTGTCCAACTCTGTTAATATATTTGTACCCTGCATGTAGCACTTGCCAAGCTCTTGGGAGAATAGTGAGTCCACAAGACCAAGAACACAATCTATTGGTCCCGTCCTACTGCTGCTGCACAAAAGCCAAGTATTGTTGCATAAGAAGACTAAGGGGGAAAAAGACAGGGGACATGTAGAGAGGGGCGCCATCTCCCTCATTTGTGCACTCAGAGCTTTTCAGGGAAAAGCCGTGGGCCCAGTGTGTTTTATTGCTAATGCCTCAGTGACTTCCAAGGGCACTTTAAGGACTTCAATCATTGGATTTGCACTTCACTCGCTCACTTCAGACCCAGAGGAGGCCTCAGAAATGGGAGGGAGAGCCCCCGAGAGAATGTTGTTAGTGCCCTTCTTTGGGCTGATTTAGCGATTTTCTTTCTCCAGCTCCTATTGAGTGTTAAGCAACGGCTAAACCAGCAAGACAAATGTCTGTTTACGCTTTTAAAAAAAGAAAGTAATGAAAGGGAGCGGGGGAAAGAGCAATGTTCTTTTTGTGTTCTTTGCAATCCAAGACCTGGGTGGAAAGGCAGCCAAACGGACATCAGATAAATCATGTTACCTGTGGCAACAGCACTGGTGGGGCTGGGACTGCCCCTTGATCTTCTTCTTACTCGTCTTCCCCTTCTCACCCAGCGCTTTGTGCTCGCCTTTCTTCATATGTTCTTCCTCGTCGCCTTTCCTTCATCTTTCACATCCTACCTTGATCCTAACAAGTCTTTCAACCCTCACACCATCGCCGTCCTCCTCTTCCTCCTCAACCTCTGCATCAAAGTGAAACAGATTCCCTTGAGCTATGGGGTCACTCCTCCCCAGCAACAAAGGGGCATTTGTTGGCCTCAACGGCTAATGCCTATTACCCAGGCCTGGACACAGTATAGGGGAAAAGAGTTATAGTGAGAGAAGAGGTGGGTGAAGGTGGGGAGGGAGCGCAAGAATGTGAGAACATGAGAGAAGTGAGGGGGTGGAAGAGGAAAAGAGGGGTAACAGACCTGTGAGACTGAAGCCTCATTACATTCTAAATTGGAAAATCCAGCCAGTAGGTGAGCACATTCCCATTAACCTGGCAGTGGGGATAACTTCCACCAGGCTTACGGGTTATTACTTCCTCTTCCATTGCTGTAACACTATTGTTAAGCCACAGTGTGAAGTCACACACACTGCAGCGCTAAAAAGCCTGACCTCTGATGTGAACAATGCTTGCTATTGTCTCGTAGTTTTTGCCCATTCATTGCAGGAAAGGGGCTAATGAAATAAATATATTGTAAATTATTAGTCAGTAAACAAAAGGTATAAAATGCTCCAGACGTGTTGACACATAAAGCATGGATATAATTAAAATAAACAATTTTAGATTGTATGCAACTAAAGAAGTAAGCTCTTTGCATTTCTGCAAATTGTTCTGATGATGTGTGTTTCCGTTTGCACTGCAATTTGTTTTCTGTGTTTTAGATACTTAAAGCATGTTTATTGGTGTTCTTACACTGTGTCATTTGTAAATGCAAATATGTAAACTGAAAATAATGTGGAAAAAGTCACACTTTATTCAAAGTGGTCACGAATCTGCTCAGAGCCAGTGATTGGTGATCTGAGGTAAAAGGACGGTTGGGAGTTTAGTACTTTGTGCTGTGACAGGGACCTGAGTTATAGCATCAATCTGGGTCAGTGACTGTAGACTGCATTGACTATACTGTACACACACACACACACACACACACACACACACACACACACACACATTTTTAAGGTAGAAAAGAAAAACTAAACTAAAGAATATTAAGAGTCACATTTGATAAAAAGTGATTTTCTTTTTTGTGAGTTCCATAGGAGGACAAAGAAAAACACTTAAAACCTCTTGAACCATAATCTCCCCAAAATGTCATCCTTAAATAGCCTCATAACTTATTTTTCCCTGAATTGTACATATACTGTATTAAAGCCTGTATTTTAAATGTATTTTAAGCCTGTAAATTAAATCCATGTCTTCAATGGTTTTGCAATTATATTTAAAATGGGCATATATTTTCAGACATGCATATTTGCAGTTATAGGTATACATTTGAAGAGAATTTAAAAAGTACTAGAGAAGGAGCCACTGAAGAGCCCTTCACGGCTGAAAAGGTTAGAAAAATGTGAAAGACAGCATGCTGAGTGGAAAGACGACCTGTTGCTTTGCTGGAAGCAGAGGGAACATTTCCCAGCAGCGACCACAGAGCATTGCAACTCCATGCATCAGCAGGCATGATAATTACACACCCACTTCACACCATTACCCACAACTCGGACGCCCATCCCCGCATGAAGACCCCCGGTACACGATTCAGGACACGGACAACACCAGCGCCTTTCAAAGAGACATTTCTGGAGCTTCGTGGTTTGCAATTAGAGGAGAGAGTAATAAGTTCATTTAGGGACTTTATTTGAAAACAATGGCGAACTCCGGTATTCAGCTGCTGGGATTTTTCTTGTCGTTAATTGGCATCGTTGGACTGATCATCGGGACTATTCTGCCGCAGTGGAAGATGTCCGCGTACATCGGCGACAACATCATCACAGCCGTGGCCATGTACCAGGGACTGTGGATGTCGTGCGCTTTCCAGAGCACCGGGCAGCTCCAGTGTAAAATCTACGACTCCATCCTGCAGCTCGACAGTAAGTAGTAGTCCTCCTAACTATAGTGACAGTCATCAGTGGGTTTAATGCAGCAGGTGGGGTTGTGCTGCTCTTCGCACAGTCTCTTTGCTCATGCGTCTGCACCTGGAGACCCACCCGGTGCACCTGAGTGAGACCTCAACGGGCCACAGTGTTATCACGGATTACGTTTGCCACCTCAGGGTATTTACCTTCTCATCACGCAGTAATTACTAACATCAGTCACAGTCCACTGTAAGCGGTCACTACAGTGGGACGTTGTTTTCTTCAGGCTGATTCCAGGAGAAAAAAAAGTTTGAAAGAAATTGGAAAGTTTCATCTTCATTCCTAAAAACACCCCCCCACACACACACGCAGTTACATTTTGGGAAACCCTCCCCCTCTTTGAATTTCCCAATGCACTCACATTTCAACTCATATACATACAGTAGATGATGCCATATCCAAATTTCAAGAGATGATTTAGTGCTCCTTAATATGAAATCAGGCTTCGTGTCACTATGGTGGCAAAAGGCACAACTCCGCACCTTGTTTTCCCCAGTGTAAAACAAGATCTAGGTGGCTTCATAACTTCGTACGTAGACACGCTTCTGTTCTCTCTTTCGCCACCATGAACTAGAAACTACACCGCAAACACCACAACAGCTGTTTGCTTATTACTAAAAATGTTGCCAAAGTTATCAGTTTCAAACCTTCCGAGGAAGGGTGACCATGGTAACTCCAGTGCTGCAATACAGGCATCTGAATATCCTGCTGTACATCACCCAACACACACACACACACACACACACACACACACACACACACACACACACTTTTCCCATGTAGAAATGCACATTAATTCTATGCAAACTGGGAGCTCTGGTTTTAACACGTCAGGGTCGTAGGTAATAGCAGCTGCCCAAGAATCCTGCCGACCTTCGGCCTCATTTAATGACAAATTAGAAAATAGTGTGGCTTGGGCTTTTTAAGCCATCTTTTGTAATGAACAGACACTCTTAAGTTTTATTTTTTTTAAATGTAATTGACATACTATCTACTGTATCAAGCATGCTGCTGAATATAGAGTAGGCTTAATGTGAGCTGGATTACTAACCAGTAAACAAACTTGGGCCTCAGACTCCCAGGGGCCCTCAAAGGTGCTATGTGCATCAGTCTGTGATAATGTGCTTGTGTTCACATTTGTTTTGAAACTTACAATAACATCACTGAAGACAAATATTTGTTGAAACAATGAGGGTCTATTTAAAAGAAATAGATCGTTTTACCAAAGAACCACAAACACTTTTATTTGGGACCCACAGGCGATTTACCTCGTGAGCCGTGGCGTACCTGTGGAATCATGATTGGCTAAAATATTGTTGATATAGTACAAGTTGCATGTAACTGCAGCTTTACATACAGTATGTCAACATTTGTCAATGTTGTTGCAAAAGCAACAGCCGTCTCTACAACAGGGAAGTATCATAAATATAGTATTTTTAATAAGTATCTTTCTCTACAGGGAATGGCATCCGATGTGCCACCTGTGTGAATCCACTGCAAAGCTGCAATAGACGGCTCAGCAGCAATGAGAGCAGTGTGATATATAACTCCAAGCCAGGATACTGTGCATCCTGCTCTCCATCTGCATTTACTATATAATCCACCCTATTGTTCCCTGATGTCGCAGTGTTTTATAGAGTTCACCCCACCCCCCCACTCTCTGTCCCTCTACTCTGCACCCGCCTCCCCTCTCTCTCTCTTTCTCTCTACCCATCCCTCCGTCCCTGCTGGAGGGTTGTTTGTTTGGGCAGGGCAGGGATGGCCTAGACTGGCACAGACTGGTTCTAGGTGGACAGAAGGGGAGAGACAAAAGGGGGGGACTCACCCTGATAGGTTTATAGGGTGAGGAGAGGGGGGGCACTGACAGATGAGGATCCGCCACGGGGAAACAGAGCGTGTGAGATGAGGTTTTTCTGTCTGTTTGTGTGTTCATGTGTATCCCATGGTTTCTCTTCCAGGAAAAGCTCACATCCAAATGTCCTGACAGGCTTGAGTGTAATTCACAACCTCTGGACACACGCATAAAGCCTCACTGATAGGTCAAGGCCGGTTTGTTCGTCTTTCCTCATCATTTACCAGTTTTTGCTTCAGAGTTTTCACTCTATATGAACTTTTTTGTTGTTGTTTTGAAGCCGCACTCCCACATTCCACAAAACAAAAGGCCGTCTGTTTACTGCCTCCCCACACAGAACCAACACACTTTACCCGTACTCCTCTCATACATAATGTTATTTTCCCCCTCTAATCACTTCCCTTCTCTCTGTCTGCCCCAGGTTCACTTCAGGCCACTCGTGCCTTGATGATAGTTGGCATCATCGTGTCCGTCGCAGGTCTGGGTGTGGCTTGCATGGGAATGAAGTGCACCACCTGCGGAGGGAACGAAAAGCTGCGCAAGTCCCGCATCGCCATGACAGGGGGCATCATCCTGCTAGTGGGAGGTGAGGATGACATACGTTGAATTTGATTACATGCAGATGGATGACAAATTAAAGGGAAAACCAACATGAAGGTGTTGTTCCACTGCAGGAACAGCTTCTGCGAGTGGAACTCTACTGGAGGGATCAACAGCATCAAATGATTTTCATCAAACCATTCAAACGACCCTAATACTAAAGCATGATCTGTCACTGCACCTCTGTGAGGCTTTAGTTACTTTGAGCAAATACTGTACATTGATAAAAACTGAAAAACTACATTATACTGTATATAATATATACTTTAAGTAAAGTATTACCAGGAAAGTCACTTCAAAACACTAAAACACACAAACTTGGTGTCAGTGAGGGTTTACGGATACATTAACTGGGAACCATGAATGTCTATACAGAATTCTTACCGATCCAACTTTTGCAGTTGAAGTGGAGATATTCTATTCAAGGGAAAACTTTAACCTGCCGGTGGCGCTAAATATCAGGGAATCACCAAAGTCAGGATTCATTTTCTGGGCACAATAGATATCTGTACTAAATGTTATGGCAATACGTCCTCTCTGTGTTGTGATGATTCGGTGTGGACCAACGTTGCCATCCCTAGAATTACTCCATTAGTGTTGCTGAAATGGTAATATACACAAGAAAAGGGTAGTGACCGAATTTCAGTCCAACAATTTCTGCTGAGGGGGTGAAATATCTCACGCACAATCAACTGAAACTTGGCTGCCCACAAGCCACTGTATGGGACCTATGCTAATCTACATTATTGTCTATACACATTATAATCAATACAGACCCGGTTACATAACGTTTCTTCAAAAGTCATCTCTTCATCACATTTTTGCTTACATCTTGTATACATCATACAGTAGGTGGGAGGAAGTTTGATCCCTTGTCCAAAAAGCTCTCCTACCACTCCTCTGCTGCAGCCCTCCAGAGGTCATTAGACTCAAGGAGTCCAGTACTTCTGGCACTGACTCTAATATAAGAGGTCGAACTGGCTCTGAAGACAACAGAAAACCCTAAAAGCTAATGGTGCTGGAGTCGATAGCTAGCCGCCTGGTGACTATAAAGGGGGTAAAAGCATGTCTGCCCTCTCAGGTTTTGATGATGTGCTGATGGACTGAGTGATCTTTGTTGTTGGCTTTCTCTCCTCTCAGGGCTGTGTGCCATCGTAGCGTGCTCCTGGTTTGCTCATAATGTGATCCGGGCTTTCTATAATCCCTACACTCCAGTCAACACCAAGTAAGTAACCCCCAAAACACAGTGGGTTCAAGTCCCGTAATAGTAATGAAACACACCCTTGATCGATGTAATACACTACAGTCGAACTTGACCAGAAGCTTTTTGAGGCTAATCTTAGCTAATGCTATCAAACTTAAGATAGATATTCCTGTAGTTGACACAACTCTTATACTTCTCCACTTGTGCTACTCTGACATGGCATTTTAGCATTTAGCATTATCCCATATTCGGCACTTTTGTCTACAGTGGCTGCTATTGAGGTACAGCCTCGCTTTAAGTAAAACACCTGAGTACATCTGACCATCAACTAACTGAACTGATGAGATAGAAATGTTGTCTTTGCTAAAATGGAGAAATCAAATTTTCCCAGAGGTTCAATTGTCAATGGAACTCCAAATTTGTCACTTTGAAATGACTGCCCAATATACGATGTTGTGTTCCCCAGGTTTGAGTTCGGCGCTGCCATCTTCATTGCCTGGGGCGGCTCCCTCCTAGATGTCCTGGGCGGAGCCATGTTGGCTGCTTCCTGTCCACGAAAGAAACAAGTGTCCAAGTACCCGTCCATGGCCAGTTCTCGCTCTGGTCCACCGAGCAGCACTAAAGAATATGTCTGAAAGCTCCCCCCCCCACAGCTCGGGGACACCAACAGAAGCTGACAAAGACGCCCCCTCCTTGTTGCAGCAGTGGCGAGGAGTAAACCGAAGGTGTGAATCATAGAGGCAAAGAATTACTGAAATGGGACTTTCTTTTTTTATTTTCTTCAGGCAGACCTTTGGTAACCCCTTGATTATCATGTGGCACTCTCAATTGTTTCATGAATGATGTCTCTCACCCCGTCCACACATTCTACAATTGTTTACAAGTGATCTTCACAAATACATTATAATTAGATCCCCTGACTTAATAGACAAGCCCTCGGGGTGTAACCTCTTGAATTGTAGCCTAAATGGTGGATTAAAGCCAACCCTTGCACCTCCATGTTAGAACCAGCATCTATTAGTGTTTGCCATGTAATTGAAAATAATCAATTCCAGTTTGATGTCTAGGCTGCGACTCAGGGGCTCTGTACAACAGAGACACAGGGTGACAATACTGTGTTTTATATTAACGGTTGGTGGTTTTAAAATAGACGTTACGATGAGCAAGGTGTGATTTCACACACAGGGCTCAGTGTGTAGGGTGGCCGTATCACACAGGCCTTTTACTACAACACTCACTACAGGCCCTGCCGCTTTTCATACCAGTGTGTTACAAACCCAGCTCCGATATGAAATAGTTTATCATGTAGTCACTGTGCCGTAATCACTCTAATAGCTTCCATATCAGCCACTATGATATCAAACTGCCACTATTTATTTTTGACAAACCTCGGATAAGGTTTTGGCTCCTGTGTAGGTTTATATAGGAAGTAGATCCCTGTGGCCCAGTTCTAGCTCTCAGAGATTATAAAGTCATATTTTTATTAAGATGTGTTGTGCTCTGAACAGTGTCTGCTCTTTTTTAAAAAAATGTCATAGTTTTATACACCTGGCTCATCATGAAAAGTGAACGGATTTTTAACATGTCCAACAGTACTTAAATAATAAAGATATTGCAACATTCTCAATTGTGTGGTGTTCATAGTAACTAATTAGATAGTACTTCTTCTCCATTAACACAAACACTAATACTGAAATTGCTTTTGCAAAACTCTCCTTAGAGTCGATAACAATAATTTACTTGTATTTTTAAAAGAGAAAACAGTCGAATCCCCATTCAGGATAGCAAAAGGAAAAACAACAAATGTGTTCATTAAAGGTCCTCTCTACGGCAGTATTGATATAGCAGCAAACAACAGCTATAGTGGAGTAATGTCTACCTGAGCAGAGAATGAAGTCACTCTCCCTCTGTGTGCTTTGTTTACATAGTCAGCCCGGCAGTGCTGGCATTTTATTGCATTTTATTGCATGCTAGTGCATGTGAGCGTGCACCCACTGGAGGTCTCATGGCCACCGCTCTGCACTGCGTCCATGCAGCAAAGCGCCCACCCGCAGTTCCCCCTCAGTTTAAGATCGATTACCTTTACATGCACACTAATATTCCACTATTATTCTGAATATGACAATATTCCATATTTAGATTAGTGTCATGTTTGTTTTTGTCTTTGTGAACTCTGTTTTTAAAGGTGCTGTATAAATAAAGTTATTATTATTATTATGTAAACAACATATTCCGTTTGGATTATTTGATGAAGGCCTTATTCTGAATTATTCTGCATTTTCCCATTAAAACGTGGGATATGCCGATATCATTCTGGATTTAGCATTTTATGAACATGTATACAGCGCTTTCGGAATATGCGTATCACTTGTTTTTTTTTTTATTGCAATTGGCGACACATGGTCTCTCACCTGTTTCCAGCTCTGTGTGTTGAACACAGACCAGCTAGCCGACAGTTTGCAGAGAGGATCCCGCATTTCTGTCCAGGAAGGAGAAACAAACCTACTCTTAAACATTGTGAAAGACTTGGATATCAACAGTCTTTTGAATATGCACAAATATTGTAACACCCACCTTTTCAAGAAGGTGGTTTGAAGGAATGAAAGAGGAGGCTGCGTTCGCACGGTCAAACAAGTCCGCCATGAATTATGTGTGCACGGCTTCATGTAAATGTTGGTGGGATGATCATTTTCATTAGACACGTAAACAGCTCAGTAGGAATATTGTATTTTTTTTTTAAATAATTAATAAACCTGAAAGATCGTGTGCATGTAAATGTAGTCACTGCTAGCACTGGTAGCACCGTTAGCCGTCGCCATGCTGAGAGCAGTGTAGAGGCAATAGGCAATATCATTTTAAATGTAGCACTTGTAAAGAGCATCAAAACATAAATAAAATATTTTGTTCATCAAAAATGTACTTTAATTATTGTTGCTGTACTTGCATCTCTGAGTGCGACACTAGTCTGACAGGAGAGTCGTCATTCATCTGCTGAAGGAGGAACATTTTTAGTATTGACATACTATATTTATACATAATATGAAGTAATAACATGATGTGACACCTTGAGTACATATAGATAAAGAGAGGACTCTTCAGTAAAGTACTTCAGTAGCATTTTGAAAGAACACATATTTGCATATTCATAGACTCTGGATTTGTAAATGAGGAATCATATTATTTTTTTAAAATATCATATCAGACAAATTATTATTGAAAGCAGAGTGTGTTTTAAAAGATGTCTCTTTTAGCATACATTATTTAACTCTGTTTACCACTCCATATTTTGCCTTTAATTTGTATTCGGCCACATCACACAACTGTAATGTGCAGCTTAAAATGCTTTAAGTGATAAACCCAGCCTTGGCAGTCATGGTTTAATAGATAAGTGACCTAATCGGGACACAGCATGGTAAAGCGGGGACAATATTCCACATATAGTGTTTACTTAAACTGATTTAGATTTGTTTAGGTGTCTATAATACATGTTGCTGCTGCCCCCCGTCTACAACGGTACATTGCTTTGCTCCCCTGCTGCTACTCCATCTCTTTCTCCAAACTCCCTCTAATGAGAGTATTACACTGACAATTATGTAAATGTCTTTTGAAGTTTAGGAACACAAATTGGAAACAAGTGCATCAAAACAATAAACTCCACAGAGATTCCACAAAGATTCATCTTTAATTTTCCCGAGATGCATTATGAAAAGTCGACCATTTCCATGCAAAGGGTAGCAAACAACCCCAAAGACAATCTCAGAGTCAGAGAACGGGCTGTGAAATGCAGGTGCTTCCATGACGCAAAAAAAGTTAAAGTGAACGAGTAACAATTTCACAGCCAACTAAGTAACATGACATCAGCATGAGCCTCTACCGACAATAGCATGTCATTTCAAGGTCCACTGCAATCTTTAAAAAACCCAAATAACCCCCCCCCACCCCCAAAAAAAGCATCAGTGTTAAGATTGTCTCAGCAGTGAGAACTAATCATAGAGAGCTGCTTGTTTTCATTATCTCATACTGTAATTGTGAAGTAAAGGTTGACATTATCTTTAAAGAGTTCACTTGAACCCAAAAGACACTCTGACACCATCTGCGTGTAGCTTAAGCAGATTACTGCTGTAAATATTAATACAAAGTAAAGTATTGTTCATCATCACATGTCTGTGTGCCAATCTATTTCAATCATCGATCTGATACAGCGTCAAATATCATTTGGCAATTGATTCAAAAGAACTAGGACTGTACATGTCTTTTATCACAGTTGTCTGGCCAACTGGGAAACCCGTCCCCTTTGAAAGCTAACAAAACCCTCCATGAATCTGTTGTTGTTTACGACATTTTACTGCTGAGTCAGCGACCCGAGCCAACAATGAGCTCCAGGAAAACATTGACTCTGCATGATCTAAAGAGCATAACGGTGCTTGCGGTTTTTGAAATACTTCTACATTAGCCCTTAATAACAGGATACCAGTTACGTGTTTTGATGCTTTAAACAGACTCCATGCATAGAATTCTGCAACATGTCACTGCACATAACAGGCATTCCCACAAAGTGCACCATTTGGAAAACATATTAAATCTCAGTTATAGATGACTAAAGCAATTTTCCATTCAGAAACGAGTAAAAAACATTTAGAAGACATAACAACACAACAAAGTGTTTTCTTCTCATTTTTTTTAAACAATAAATATTTAGCAGTAGTTGTATTTTTTCCTTCAGTAAATAGCGAGCTTTCGTCCACTGGATAGTATACACCACTTGCATCGGTGTGAGAGTAGAGAACGATAGTCATTGCACAACCAAAGCTTAACATTTCACCTGTGTGTTAGACACTAACAGGTCTGTGTTCCCTCACACAGCCAACCCACAGACTTAGAAACCCTCACCAGAAAACAGGCAGGTGAGAAGCTGCTTTTCACCAAAACCATTTGCTCAGTGCAACTTTAGAAATGTAGCCCTTGTTAAAGAAGCTCTGAAAAATAAAGACACTTCCTTCCCTCAAGTCCTGATAATATACTGCCTACCGAGGTACAGAGTAGAGAGCGATGCAATAAAATCCATTCACAGTCTGACCAAAGGTAAGATAAATAAACACTATGTACAATCAGGGCCTAGGCTTCAGCTGCCGCTAAATGAGGCGTTTTTTTTGTGTCTGGTTTGAGCCATCAGAAGCTTCAGTCGGACACGTGACAGGATCAAGGCCAAGATCACTGACGGGGAGTTTTGGCGTCCTGGGGGATTTCTTTTTTTGGCACTTCTTGGTGAAGTTTAGGAGATGGGCGACACAGATACAGGACACTGCCCGTTGTTGTTCATGATGTCGTCCAAGTCTTCGTCGTCCAAGTCCACTGAGGAGAAAGGGTCAAAGGTCAGGAATGTGTGCCTCTCAGTGAATGCGTTGATATAAGATGTTATCACAGGTATAATATGTGACCTTTATGTATTCAAATGACTAAACATAACTATGTTATATATTTTGGGAAGTTGTGGACTTAAATTTTCCCAAATATTTTCCTCCCAAAAAAACCTCCTAAAGAAGCTCCTAACCGGGAGAAGCTGACTGCAATGACGGTAATGGCCGTGAAGACAACAACTCCCATGATCCCATACTTCACGATGTCACCAAACTTTGTCTTCTGGTATTGTTTTGATTAAGAGCAGCAGAAAATTATGTATTTAATGGAATAGTTTGACATTTGAGGTTTTCATTTGATTGGCCAGGCTGTTTCCTGTCGTTTTTTTTTATGCTAATCTAAGCTAAATGGCTGCTGGCAGTAATGGACAAACATGACAGTGGTATCAATATTCTTGTCTAATTCTCTTCAGGAAAGAGCAAACAAGCATATTTCCAAAAATGTCAAACTATTCCGTTAAAGATTTTACGCCTTGTGATTACCATACGTGCCTCAGAGGCTGGAGTATCTGCGGATCAAGTTTACCCGATACTCAATGTACTTGTACATAGCCTTGCTGACATCTAGGGATGCAACTTTCAGCTACGTTTTCAAAAATCGACCGAATATTCACCAAATATTCTTCAAGAAACTAACAATCAATGTGTGTCTTCTTGCTTTCCGAGGAAAAGCAAAGTATGAAGGTAATAAAAAATAGTGTTATTGTTATATCATAGAAGTAGTGGTATTGCACTCCGAATGATTAGATCACCACTTCAGCTTTATAACCTTGCATGTGAAGAACTTAAGCTAACATTGAGTGCATCAGTAGGTTAATTCCTGCGTGGTCGGGGTAGATTTTTATTATAATTTTTTTATCCAAGAGGGAGATTTGTTTTTACAGCCAGTACTACATAAAGGTTATTCATGGTTCAGCTTCAGAATACAACTAAAGAAGCATCTTCTAAAAATAAACTTTTGAAAGAAAATGAGCTTTTAGTCTTTGTCATTATAACTGCGTATGTAAAGTGGCCTCGTATTTGTTTGTTCACAGTTAAGTCTGTGTCGATTTTGTTTTTTATTTGATACCATGGCATTCTCATAAATGAAGGAAGTGTTTCTATGTGTGTAGCTGTTGTATGTTGTCACTGTCATGTGTCTGAACCAAACAAAGAAAACAAACAGCTTTAAGGAGAAGCCCAGCACCCACCCACCTTTCTTGGTTCGACCAATCTGTCCCAGCTTGGGTGCCCTCTGTCCGAGTCTCTGGGGATTGGCCCCGCCGCCGTCGCCGCCGTTAACCTGGGGGTGTCCCGGGTTGTACTGCCCTCCCGGACCCGGCTGCCGCGGCGGCCCGCTGGGCTGGATGAGCTCTGGGATACCTGATGCTCCGTACATCTCGAGAAGGCGCCTTCTCCTGATTGGCCGCTAGATGTCCGCACAGCCCAAGCTTTTGTGTCGTGTCGAAAAGCTTCTCACTTCCGCAATGGCATTCAACACACGACGAATGTATGAACAACACACGACAGAATGCTGGAGATAACAGACTGAAAGTCCTCGTAGCCTGTGAAAGAAAGTAAAGACGTCTGTCAGAAATAGCTCTCATGCGTCAGAGAGCGGCCAGCTCTTGGCAAGTGCGCACAAACACTTCCCCGCTGTTTATCCTGAAATAAACGATGCACTCTAATGTGTGTTGTCCCACTCTATTACAACTAGCAGGTGTAGCAAATGCCTTCCTGGACATTACAACAGCTGAGCAGGACAATAACGTGGCTTCCGTTTGATACACTGTTATAAACTGCGCTTGTCCGCCCGCTTCTAAAATCAGCATTGACAGATCGCTTCCGCTACAATCCTTTAGGAATACTAAACACGATAGATGTGACCTCACCTCTTCTTCACCGAGGCCGCAGTAAAGAGCCCAATCTGGTAAAAGCGGCTTCTGATAAGAACAGTGTTGTTGTTGATGAGATCTCTCCCTCTCTCTCTTCTCTCTCTCTCTCTCTCTCTCTCTCTCTCTCTCTCTCTCTCTCTTCTCTCTTCTCTCTCTCTCCCTCTCTCTCTCGGTACCACACCGAGGAAGCGTCGATTTAAAGGGGCCTCTCGTCGTTTTCTCGGCCTTGGGGATTTCCTCGTATTGTGTCTTGACTCCTAGTGACGCGGACGTCAGCGCGCGCTCGATATAAGTGACAGTGCTGACACTTCGGATTGTACAGCGGAGGTGTGCCAAAGTTTTCGAGGGGCGCAGTGCGTAATTACGCACCTTAGGTAATGAGAGAGTGACTCAGGCGCCAGCCAATGACTAGACACTGCTTGGTAATCCCCATACACAGCACATGTAATGCTTTATGTCGGAGGCAGCAGATCATGTCAGCACACTAACTGCAGCTCTCGTCCATATAGAAAAACATAAATATCCAACCAGTGAAGTAGATTAGTGACTTATTGGCTATAGATTATTTACTCATTCATTCATTAGTTCTTTGTCAACAACTGCTGCTTGTTAATATGAACTCACTCTGTTTCATTCATTTGAGTTCCCCCCTTCTCTGAACCTCCATCCATCCATTTTCCACCGCTTATCCGGGGTCGGGTCGCGGTGGCAGCAAGCCAAGCAGGCCGACCCAGACCTCCCTCTGGGTCGGCCTGAGTCTGAACCTTACCCGCCTAAATCCAACCAGCGATCTCTGCAACACCTAACCACGACCAAATGTATCTAGACCACAGGTGGAAGCAAGTCATTTTTTAGTGTCAGCCCTTGGCACTCAAGTCCCAAGTCAGGGTTGACCAATCTTGAGTCTTTCGAAGCTTTCAAAGATACCAAACATTTCTGGCTGAATTTGGGGGAAACACACACATAGAATTCATTCAATGAAGAATAAGCTAACACAGAATTGGCCTAAGTAGAATACTGTAGGATAATGTGGAAATGTGGGATATTTGTACTCCAAAGGGTACTTCTGCAATTATCAGGTGGCTGAAAAGAAGGTCTAGTAGTTAAGCTGATTTTGAAAAAAGTATTACAAGTATTACAAATTAGTATGAAGCTGATTTTTGAAGGTTTATTGTCACTAAAGTCAGTAACCTTCCACCTACAATAAACCGACTGCAAAAGGATAAAGTCTTGGGTAAAAGTTCAACCCATATTTTGATGTTTTTGTTTGTACATACCTGTTGGGAATGTGTTATCTCTCCATCACATGAATCCATGCACAGTTGAGAGATTACCTAAAAGAAATACCCCCTGAGACTTGCCAAGACTGATCTGCCCGTAGATCAAACTCTGCAGACCCACACGGTTGGTATATATAATTGTCAGTGTGTCTCTTCCCCTGTAGAACAATCTAACACTTTGTCGTGAGCGGAGCAAAACCCACCCCCATCATGTCCAGGATCATAAGTCTTACTCTCCTGCTCATCATTCTGGTTGACACCTTTTATGGCAGCACAGGTACATACAAAGAGAATAGATTTTGGATAAGTGCATCTTATGATGCATTTATGACATCAGCGACGCAGGAAATGGGATGAGGCGGTTGATGGGTAATGTATTATTGTCGGCCATTAATGATTTCTTGCTGTTTGTCTTTTTCCACTGTGTAAAGCTTCACAAGCTGGATTTCATGTGTCCAAAGTGCACATCCGCAAGTGCAGGTGCAGAGGTGAGTGTCCCCTGGTCTTTCATACATTTTGGTTAAAGATTTGAAATGGTGAAAATCAGCATGGAAAAAGAGTATGATCACCGGGGCTGTTAGATACTGTTAGATAAGATTGGTTTTCTACAGACTTTTCTACAATACTGTACAGTCAGCAGAGAACATGGCATTAAGAGGGGTTATGATCCGAGTGTCTATGGTGCTCATTTCAATGACCACCTCTGTTTTCACTGCAGTTTTTGCCAATGGAAAAATAAAGTGTCGCTACCCACTGTTTCCCACAAACCACAAAGAGAAACAGAATCTGATCAAATGCTTCTGCAGCAAAACAAACCAACACAGTGAGTGAACTGACATTGTATGTGGGTGTGAGATGGAGAGATTTCTTTTCTCTCTTCTGTGCTACTATTCAGTAAAGATGCTTAATTTGTTTCCATTTTTTTCTCTAAATGTGTAGAGTTTCCAGAGTTTAAAGCAGCCTGCAGCACAGGGCTTCCTGGTTTTCCAATCTCCCTGGTATGAATCAATGGATTTCAAAGGGGGAGCAGGAGAGAAGGACCTTGAACACGGCTCTTTAGGAATCATATCACAACATACAAGATCAAATCGTCATCACATGATGTTAGCTGTTACATCCCATTATGTCAAGTCACATAACTGTCACAACATGACATGACACACAATTAACTCCCTTATGCATCGCATCAACCTTGTAATATACTATAGATATCTGTGACCTCAAATACATTGTAAATAAAGACATTTTCTATTGCAGATACTTTGTTTTTCTCCTTTGTTTGTGTATGTTTGAACGTAAGCGGAGCTTAGCGGTAGTTTGACATTTTGGGAAATACGCTTCTTCACTTTGTAGCTGAGAGTATCGATACAACTCTCATGTCTGTACAGTGAATGTGAAGCTGCAGCCAGCAGTCAATTAGCTTAGCTTAGCACGACTGGAAACTGGAAGACAGCTTCACTGTCTCACATTTATGTAATGTGAACAAAAACCAAAGTGTAAAAGCAAAAATGAGCTGTATTATGGGGGTTATGTGCCAGATTACTTCTCAAATGAACTGTTCTGTTTTTTTTTTGCTGAGCCAAGTTAACTGACTGCTTGCTACGACTTCATTTACCAAACATATGTGAGATTGGTATCAATCTTCTCATCTAACTCTTGGCTAATAAAAGCAACTATTTCCCAAAATATTGAATATTGCCCTAATTCCTTTTTTTGCTAAAACAGGTTTGAAACATTGGTTGAAACATTCATCACACTTTCAGGTATTTGTACAATGTTACATCAAGTTCTGATTGTTTTAAATAATAAATCCCAAGAATTTACTTAATTTAATATTGTAGAAATGTAATTGTCATTGTCAGTTTTTACTGTGAATGATCCGGTTCTGTATTTTTGGGTGGATGCGATACTCTCTCACCCCCCATGAATGTCCCCTTCGTTAATCCTCTGTGTGATCACCTGTGTCAGCTGCAGCCCTTATGGAAGAGGAGGCAGCTCTTGCTTGATAGGGGTAGGATTCACTCCACTGGGCCTTTCCTGTTTCAGAACAATGAGAAATCGGATGTTATAGTGAGGATTTGTTTTTTGTTTTGTTGCGCAGCTTCAAAGAAAACCCTTCTATATGATGCAATTTCAAATGGTGAAATTCCACTGCTTGTGTAAATATTATCATTTGATTTGATGTATTTTTCACCGAGCAGAATCCTAAAAAGAACAAAATTAGCAGAGCTCACTTAAAAATAAAAATAAATAATAAGAGAATCTGTATGTCCTATTAATATTCTCAATGATATGATACACAGTTTTACCTATAAGTGCTGCGTGATGACATTTTGTGATTTCTTCGTGTCTCTTACTCAACTGGTACAGATCAGGAGTGTCCAGTGGTGTAACTCAGGCATGTTTTCAGACATCAACTTATCTCTCACCGAGGTCTCTGAACAAAACACTACAGGTCAGCAGAGTAAACTGTCATGGGAGCACATTGCCTTGTTTACCCACTTTTTCATATTTACCCCAAAACACTGCAGTCAAGCAAAGAGCACACACACACACACACACACACACACACACACACACACACACACACACATGTGAACGTCAAAGTGAGACGAGAGAAAGAGAGGAAACGTCTCATAGTACTTAACAAAAGTGGCCCGTACTTGTTTTTCTTGGGATTTTGACAACTAAACCCTCAGACGGGTAAGTCATCTATTCTTTATAAAAAATAACCCTGGTTACATATTTTCGGTTAAACTTCACTGATGTAAATCATTCTTCAGAGTACAGCAGGCTGGCTCTGAGCCACGCATGTACCAGAAAAAGGGAAAGCTCTGGAGGAACCTTGCTCTTCTCTGAGTTTGGAGCTGAGGAGCAGAGCTAAAGAATAACTCGGGTCAGGAGACAGAGGCGTTTAATCCGTAGTGAGTGACGGGCGTGGACTTTTGTTCACAGCAAGCACCTCACTGGTTTGTTGAGCTTAACTTTTGACTGGGATAATAGGTTTCCTGTGGATGTTGGCTTTGGTCAGAATTATGGGTCACGGATGCAGAGTTTGCTGCCTTGTATCCTCTTATTTTTCTAACTGGTGTTAATGTGTAGAGTTATTTAGATCGCAGGGGCCAGATAGCAGCACTGCAGGCCGAGTACTCACTTGGATGCAAACTAGTAGATCAGATAGCAACTGAATCGTATATTAGTAGTATTAACTAATTATTTATTTTGCTAGATATGTTTTGGAGGAAACATAACTGCCTCTTCCTGGCAACCTGGTTTTTCAAAATCAGAAAGTGTCAAACAATCTAAGTGATGCATTCAAATGTACATTCAAAATAATACAATTTTGAGGTATTTGGACTGAACTTGAGGATATCAATTTCTCGCTACTTTATACTTCTCCACTACATTTACCTCCTTTCCTTCAAATGACTAAATAATAATATATTCTTGAGAATTCTAACCAAATTCAATGTATGCTGGGGGGAAATCTAAAAGGCTAACAATGTTAATACTCATTAGTTGGATATTTAGCTCTTCATTTTAAGTTGAATTCAGGGTTACATGCTCTGAATTGTCTCTGAATGTTGCCAATTTAAGACTGATGAATGCATTTAATCACACTGAATTAATGATAAAATGAGTTGATCTAATTTATTTGATTAGAAGAGTCTACAATGTTTAACCCAGAGTGGAATAAGCATTGTACATGAAAAGTACAAAATAAAAGGGGAACTCATTGGTAACTGAGGCTTTTCACAAGTTAGAATGGATGTGTTCTTTATGTGAACAAACAGTAGGAATAGCATCACAACCATAACATAACCCCCCCTCTCCTTCATGGTCGTGGATGGCCAGCTCAGCTATGTCTCAACAGGTGGTCCAGGTCCAGCCGGAGAGCAGGGTTCAGGAGAAAGGTCAATGGAGTACTGGCCTGTGTGAGTGCCATAAAGACATGGGAGACTGTAAGTGTCCAAACATTATACAGTATACAGTATGATATAAAATATGATGAGATGTATACATTTTCTGTCTATGCTGAATGCAAAAAAAATGCTTTCCTGAAATGATAAAACATTAGGTTTTTGTGTACTATGAGTTAACCTAGTGTGTGTGTGTGTGTGTGTGTGTGTGTGTGTGTGTGTGTGTGTGTTTAGGCTGCTTTGCCCTGTGCTGCCTCCCAGTGTTTACCTGTAAGGTGACCAGTGCAGTGGGCTCCTGTCCCTGCCTGCCCCTGCTGGACTGTATCGGCTGCGTACCACCGGCCTCTCTCGCCATGAGGGCGTCTGTCAGGGAACGATACGGCATACCGGTAATACACCACAGATAGGATTTGACATCTGGTGGAGGGATGTATACCTGATTGAGACCCAAATAGATTTTTAGGCATTCTAATATCAAATGGTTTATAAAATAGTGCATGCTGTAAATGGGAAAAGCGAGTGAGGATGCCCCCAGACCCCCCCCCCTTGGTTTGGGCTGAGCCCTGAATGTTCACACATCTGGCTCCGCCCCTGCCACCACTGTCTTTTTCTCCTCAACCTTTATGAGGATGCTGCCATCTTGTTTCAAAACTTGGTTGGAATTGCCAGTGAACAAAACTGAACTTAGTTGAGGCATTTATGTCACGTTCAATCGATCAGAGAGGGTGAAGAAGAAGTGACTGTGAATAAACGAGTGTTTTGCTGAGACGTTTCTCTGTAGCTGGGGTTGGGAATGTGAGAGTTAAATGTGAGACTAAATTCTTTCAGCCAAGTGGAGTGGCCCCTGTGACTGTGATGTCGTGAACAATGCAGCAGATTGCGTACACTGTGTACCCAGCTCAATAACACAGAGCCGCTGGAGCTTTGGATAATTAGGATAGCTGCTGAGAAGACGAAGACGCTTTAGTGATGAAACACAATAACAGCATGCGGGGGAAATAGCTGCAAGATCACGCAGGTGTGCCTAATGACACAGGTTATTGTATAAATCTCCTCTAGAGCCATAAATAACTAAATGAATAAACAACTAGCTGTTAGTGCATTTAAGATACAGCAAGCTGCTCAGGCTTCCCACCCACTGCTTGTCCACACTAAACACTCACACACCTGCATGCACGACCACAGATCTCAATAGACATCGGGTCACTCATCACTGCACATAACCAATACCGAACAGATGTTTCGACAAGCAAACAGCACATGCCGGGGCCAAGTTGTGTGAGTCTGATGTTGGATAAGCGGAGCGTTTCTGGGACAGTGAAGAGAAGAAGAGATAAGGCAGGAGGTGGGAGTGGTTGGAGGCCAGGCAGGCAGAAGCTGGAGTGCTGCCATCGGAGAGAAGGAGGTGGTTGGTAATGTTGGCTTCTCTGGAGGTGGAGTGGGCCGTGGATCGCTGTCAATACCGCAGAGCATGAGCTAGGAAGGTGCCAGAAGTTCTTATGAAAACAAGTCACAGCATGCAGGCTGTTTGTAGCGCAAACTCTCTCATGGATGGAGGGAGACAATGCTGTAACGGTGGTGTATCACGAGAATAAAACTGTAGATTCAGTCAGATTACTTCACTCATTTGCATATTCATTAAAAGTTGTTTAATGAAACTAAATATCTCAACAACTATTGGATGGAATGCCACCAAATCTTACTGATACCAATCTCGCCTCGCAGGTTTCCGTGGATCCTGGTTATACCTGGACCCTGGTCTTGCCTCCTGCCTTGGTTCTGTCATATACATTGAATGTACACATGACATCTATTGCACTTCTGTCCATCCTGGGAGAGGGATCCCTCCTCTGTTGCTCTCCCTAAGGTCTCTTGTCTCCCCATTAAAGGTTTTTTTTGGGGGAGTTCTTCCTGTTCCAATGGAAGGGTCCTATGTCAGAGGTTGTTATATGTGTACAGATTGTAAAGCCCTCTGAGGAAAATTTGTGATTTTGGGCTATACAAAAATATATTTTATTTTATTTCATTGAAATCTCTGAAAGAGATTTAGGGTCCTTAGAGGATGAGTCAGAAGTGATGACTTTTCCTCAAGCACCGTTTTGACAGCATAGTTTGACGGAATCTTAACAACTATTATAAACCAACACTAAATAAACCAACAAATAACTCCAAACTTATATTTGAGACGATACCTTTTTGTTTGTTTATGTTTATTGTGGTACTTTCTAATCCCAAAGTTGCACGTTGCATTCAGATCTATAGACCTGTAATGATGTTTGGGGGCGTAGTGATAATTTTAGTCGTTAACGTTGTCACCCTCCCACATTGAATGCACAAGAGAGCCAGCGCAGCAGAGAGAAAGGGTGCTATTGAGCAGATCCCAGGTATGTTGCTCAAGAAAGACATGCATGTAAACATAAAGATTGTTTTTGCTACTTCTAGACACTCAACAAGTTGCAGTCAGATCCTCAGACCTGTAAAGATGCTTGTCAGGTGGAATTATTATTTAGTAGATTATGTCACGAATGCAATGCAACAATTGCTGTTTTTGATATTATATACTTATTACATATTACATAACAATAATGTTTGGACTTGACAGCGATGATGCAAGAAGTAAGACAGAGAAATCAAAAGTGACAAAAGTTGCAATGCTGAGAAGTCACATGCTGAGGCTGCACATGGATCTGCCTTCTTGGTTGTTTCTCAGACTTTATTGATTTAATCTCACCCACTAACATTTCTATCTCGACATTACTGACAAGCTCTTTGTCCTGGTTGCTGTTGCTAAGAGCAAAGACTTGGCTGCACGAAACTCAGTGTCCTCAGGGAGAGGATATTAACTGAAGCAGAAGAGCTTGATTATTACTGTTACACTGACAAATACATCGCCTTCTATGAACTTCAAGCTGCCGTATTATACATTGCTAATTTGGTGTTTTGAAACATAAAAAATGAATGTTAAACTACAACTAAACTACTATTAAATTATACTCCAGATTCTCTTCAAACTAACTTAATGTAATACTGCAAATTACAAAGTGTATCATAGTACAACAGGCAAATGAAACACAGATCTGCTGCATTGTATATCAGTAAAAATGTATTTTCTTTGCACCTAAATGCAAATGTTCACCTTTTGTTCGAGCCTCCCACCTGTGTTCAGGCCGCTCTGCGTGTGTCTTACAGGGGGGGGTGTGGAGCGACTGCCTGTATGGATGCTGCTGCTATCCGCTATCTTGGCTCCAGATCTCCAGAGAGCTGAAGAGAAGAGCAGCATCCAACGCCTCCTCCTCTTCCTCAGCCAGATACACCGCTCTGACCTCCCTGCAGGGGGCGCACTTGGTCTAGACCATACATGCAGCACTCCTGTCTTCTGTGCTCTGCTGCAGCTTGCCCTCCAGTGTGCAGGAGTTGATTTAATCACACTTCCTCTGATCTGCAGCCACTCCCTGTTGCCTTTAGAGAATTCAGGGACCCGATCTGTCCCACAGAGAGGAAAGTTCAGTTTTTCCCAAAATGAAGTGATGAAAAGTAATTTGAATATTAGACACGAGGCTACTTTTCCATGTATTTTTGAGTAGCAGAATGAGCATTATTTCATGGTGGGAATTAATTAAGTACATTTGCTCATGCACTGTAGCTTTATTCTACTTTTCTACTCCTACTCTACTTCATTTCAGATGGAACTATTGTACTTTTTACTCGGATTGACATTCATCAGATTAACATTTTACATATAAAAATAAACATTCCATAATTTTATAAAATACAATTCATTGTATGAACTAGTGATTCCCAACTTTTTTGCCCTGTAACATATTACACGAAGCATTGTCTAGTGGAGGCTTTTTTGTTATTATGTCAATGAGTTGTCAGTCATTTGAAAAAGGGATGGAACTTTTTGAGGCCCAAAAAGCTAAAAGATAAGAAAATCATATTGTTCACAACAAAGCTGAAATTAGACAAAAGTCTGAAAAATGATCACAGATTTGTTTAGCATAATTCAGTTTTTTCTACTTTCTACTCCAATTAATCATCTCATGGCCCCTCAGATGTATCTTGTGACTCCTTGCTGGGGGCCAAACCCCACGCTGGGAACTACTGGATGAACATACCTTAGTACAAGCAACCAGCTAACTCCAATCTAAAAATCTCATATGTAGCTGAATATCTTTCACAGTCGCCAATTGTCGGCAGAATGAGTACTTTTACTTTTGATATTTCAGTATAATACATTTAGTTGATAATACTTCTGTACTTTGACTTCTGGAGGATTTTGAGTGCACGACTTTTACTTGTAATGAATTATTTGTTGTTTTATTGATGGTTAAGGCAAGGAACAGTACCACAGCACACTGATGATTACAAACAGTAGCATTACACAAAGTCTATAGAGCCTCCATCTTTAAGTTTGAACTTGCCACATGTTTACAAAGGCAAATTATTGAATGCAACTTTCTAAATATGATTAACACTTGTGCTGCCTTTCTTTTTAAGTATACTTGCTGCTCCTTTACACTTTATTTTTATCGCTACCACACTAAAAGTTGCACAGAGATTCCAAGTCATTCCAAGAATCTTTTAGCCCCCTGCATTATGACAGACGGTCAAAGAACGTGAATTTTATGGAGAAGGAAACATTGATTCTTTTCATAAAACAAAAAACAGGAGAAGTTTCTCTAATGTTATAGCGGATTTGAAATAGTTATTTACAACAAGCAGATTAATAATGACAGGAATTTAGACATCGTGAATAAAAAAATCCAGCTCTCACTAAGCTGAATTGTAACATATGGAATCCTTCAAAAATAAAACTGTAAATTGATGTGTTAGTGCAGCATGCTTAAAATATGTAGTACGTCTAAAATATCCTCTTTCAGAGGCAATTTAGCAACTGATTTAGCAAGATTGTAACATAAAGGCACAGAGCTGCTGTGTGTCTCTTTTGTTCTTATCACTCACCTCTGTCTAAGAACAGAGTTGCATCCTTCAAAGATGAGGTAATGTGCATTTTGTGGCATGATGACGTCTGAGATTCAAAAGGATGCGTGACGGTCAGATTATCTGATGTCTGACTGCCAAAGGTATGGACACAAGTCAGACTGGACAGACCGGTCAGTGACATGCATCCTGTGCTGTCCTGTCACGTTCACTGCTCTGCAGCGAGTCTATAAGATGCCACGCTGTTCTGCAAATCCATCCCTTCACTGAATGCCGCTCACAGTAAGGTAAAGATTTCTAATTTATTCTGAATTGTGTCGTACTTTCAGGAAAAGAAGAAACCCTGATAATAATTTACTTATTGAAACAAATTTATCATCATTATCATATGATTTCACTTCAGGAGGATTGCGTGACCTCGAAGCTGTCAGGAAATTCTGCAACCTGACTGGGATTTGTGAAACTTTTCACAGTTGAACTCCAACCTACAGACCTGTTCACGCACAAGTCTGTTTATCTTGTTACCTGAAAAGTCAAAGATATGGGGTGTTTGCTCAATAACAGCAGTGTGTAACTCTCATGACCCTGACCAGTTCAGTTTACTCCTGAGTGTGTACTTCTCTTTCCCAAAACTGAAAACCTTGGCTTAACAATATTTTTTGGTATATTTCTTTATCACCACAAAGATTTGGTCTTGACAGTTACTGTAATGTGTGTTTTTTTGTCAGAAGCTTAAGCCATGTCTGAAAGGATGGTCATGTCCCAACCCAGGCCCTTCATCATGACCAGTGTGTCCAGCCAATGGACCTCTGGCATCTGTGATTGCTTCCAAGACCTGCCGCAGTGTATGTGCCCTTCTTTTTATGCAGTCGATGTCAGATAATACGAGATATCAAATCTCAAAGATGAAGATCTGAAACATTTTTTTCTGAAGTGCAACAATAATGTTTGTACACCTTTAAGAGGCTTTGCAGCCCAAGAAGAGATGTTTGGCCATGACCTCAGTGACTGATGTTGTCCAGCTGTGAAACCTTTTAGATGAGCACATTCCTACTGTTGAGCTTAACTGGGACTTTTATTTCAGGCTGCCTCGCCTTTTGGTGTCTTCCCTGCTTCACCTGTAAGACAGCACATGAGGCCGGGGAGTGTGTATGTTTACCTCTGCTGGACACTTTTGGACTTATCCCTCCTATGACCACAGCCCTCAGGGTGTCAGTACGCCAACGCTATGGCATTGAGGTAATTGTATTCTTTATATAGTACTTACAAGCATCGGGTTAACCCTCATAAAAGTCATCATTCATCTGATTTTTTTATGTATACTTTAACGGGATTAATGTCAGTAGCCCAAAAATCAGCTGTATGGTATTATCAGGCCGGTCTCAGATACCGACGCATAAGGTCTTTTAGGTAACTACAATGCAAACTCATCCACGCCAGTAATGGGCGCTCAGAGCAGGTGCTTTTGCAGTTTTGTAACATAGAAGACCAGTGACCAGTAACTACCCAGTGTTAGAAAGTGACACCTAGGGGTCAGTATGTGACAAGCTGGCAATGAGAACAGGTTAGTATTATACAAAACTAGTGCAGTGCTTGGCTCCTGGTATCGCTACTTACACGTAGAAAGCATTTGTTTTTTTCCTTTCACTGTTGCATGTCTAACCCCTCTTATCTCCTCGCCCAACCGTCCCTAACTGTGTCTCTGTCTCCACAGGGTACCATTTGCAGGGATTGTCTGTACTCCTGCTGCTGCGGGCCCTGCACCTGGTGTCAAATAGCAAGAGAGATGAAAACAAGGAAGAATCCCATCACCTTCGTCAGCATGGCCGCCAGATAAGAACAAAATGCTGAATTCGCATCATCGCTGCGTGTGATGCATTGCTGGTTCAAGCATGGCTGCCTCTGTGGAATGTCGCTGAGCAACTGATTGAACATCAGCACATGAGGGTCATAAATGTTGCATCACTTGATGACGGAAAGAAGAGATAAGCACACACTTCACCTTTGTAAAATCCATTAACAGATACAGTATAAACGAGAACTTAACAGTGACAGTAGTGGTATGAACTGAACTGTATTTTATACAGTTTTTGGGTTACTGACTTTGCACACAGATTTCACACATACATCTTTAATATTATATAAGGAATGCTTTTGTTTTTTTACTTGTTTTCCTTCACTTTCAAGATGCTTGTTTCATATGTTCCTTTTGGATAATTGATTACTTTGTCTTTGTATTGGTTGTTATCCTTCAGAAGTATGTATATGATATGTTTGTATATGGGCTAATTTTCACTTGTTATATGAAAAGACAAAGACGGCGGCCGTACTGAAACATAGCTCTTCATAAGATATCATGTTTAGGCATGGAGTTACAGCCATGCTGGCGGCGTGGGTCAAGGGGTGACAATGTTGAACTCTCGGTCAGTCTCCCATTTTGGTCCAGACCGAGATTTCTCAACAACTATTGCATTGAAATTTGGTAGAGATTCAAGGTCCTCAAAGGACGGATCCCTCTGACTTTGGTGAACTTCTGACTTCTCCTAAAGCACCACCACAAGATTGACAATTTATTCTACACTTTTGACCAAATACCTGCAAAACAAATAACATTCCCATCAGTCTCAGCTGCAGGCCTACTTTGTTAATATGCTAAATAACAATAGTGAACATGGTAAAAAAATTACCTGCTTACAGTAACATCAGCCTGTTAGCATTGTCCCTGTGAGCATATTAGCATTCTGATTTTAGCCTTATTAAGCTCAAAGCAGCGATGTGGCAAAGTGCTAACAGGACTGTACACTCAACACCTAGAGGTGTGCGAAAATCACTTTTCCTGAATGACTGGTTATATTGTGTTACTAACTATTAGAATATACTGTAATTCTTAGTTCCATGAAGTTGTGCTATAGATGCATTTGTGATAAATCATACATTCTTCTTATTTATGTCTCTGAATCTTTCAGTCTGTTCCTAATATTTTTGTCACATACAAGTCAACAGTGCAATAAAACTCAAAGTCTGTCTGAAGTTCAACACAATAAATCTCAGTGTGCTCTATCTTATGTCCAGCCCAACTAGTGGGGTGCCAGCATCTGTGGCTGCTTCCATGATTTAGATGTCTCTAAGTCTGTTATGAGGTGTTTTCATTACACCTCCTGTGTGTTTGCCTTCCACATTGACTTTAAACTTTTGACTAGGGCTGTAGTGAAGACTTAAGTCAACGTCCAACACGGAGCAGCTCTGAGACAAATGTGAGTGAGTTCAAATGGGGTCAATTCAGTTTTTAGACTTTGTAGTCTGTTATGATTACATGTCACACTTGACCTTGCTTAACCTAGCTTCCATAAAGGAGCAGCTTAGGCGCACACAAACACACACACACACACACACACACACACACACACACACACACACACACACACACACACACAATTCGTAAAAGATGTAATGTTGAGCGGCGCAACATTTTGGTTCAGGTTTATACAACTCCACAGAGGCAGAGGAGAGGAGGGAAATGCTGCGGCTCACTGATATAACCGTTGTACTGCGCCTCTTGCTGTTGTTGTAATCACCAATGCTCACTTTATTATTCCCTCTGCTGTGTGACCTTGCTGCTTCCTCCTTCCCTCGTTCCCTGTCACTCCCGTCTCACACACTCTGACTGTGTCCAAGTTTGGATTGTTACCCAGTTCTCCCTGAAGTTTCCTCAACAAGCCGATTGTAAAGTCAGCGCATTGAACTTGCATGTGAGAGTCCGATCTACAAGGAAAACATCATCCAAAGATGCGAAACGAGCAGCGATGTGGAGCTCAGCGGGAGTAAACTGATGAGCCACTTTGCATTGAGACACAATATGTTGATTGGACAAAAAACAGCCATCCATCTGACAACTTTACTTTGAACAGATTCTCTCATGTCAAGAGAATTATTTGACACAATTAGGACAAATGCAAAATGTAGGATCACTCAAATTACAAATCCATTAAAATGCACTTTACCATACTTAAATCATGCCTTTATTGACCTTTGCTTTTAATAACAATACACATAACTTTGGTAGTAACTTATAACCCACATGCTGGACTTTGACCTGTTAGAATAGGGCCTGTGTGTAGAATTTAAGCTGTGTGGAAACACAGATCTCACACAGTATCCTGACTCTCAGAGGACGTGGAGCTGAAGTCAAACTTCTGGATTTTGATACAACAAGAACTCGGTGAGACATTTGATTAACTTTTAATTTAACAATTTAACAACAAAACACTTTTGCTAAACACATTTTATGCCACTGGCCTATTAGTATTTCATACAGGACAATATACAAGATACAGTATATATGTTTCAGTATGCCATCTACATGTCATAACTTTGTATTGTCACTGGCAGAAAATTATATGTGTTACTGTGAAGAAGGCCCAATCCTCTTTTTTCAAAACTTAACATCCATTAGTTTAACAACCAGCAGCTGATAAGCTAGCCATAAACGGAGGAAAGAAAGCTACAGAATGGCAAAATAGAATATAAACAGGTACAGTATGTTTATATCTCACTTATGCCAAACAGCAGAATATCCAAATGCATATGGCGCTGAAATAGCCTCTAGCGCACTGTGACCCTGTACTGCATAAGATACTTAGAAAATACTGTCCACATGTAGCAGTAGCAGTAGCAAACCACAATAACGCTTCTCGAATGAAATGGTCCCCCGCTACATTGCTTTTACATTGTCAGTTTTTTGGTAAATCCCTGCCGACGATTTTTACATAATTTACATGAATCATCTTTCAACTCCTCCCTTCTTTGTGTTACTGATTGAGTTACAGAAAATTGATAGATTGGAAAACTACTTTTATATGGCATCAGGTTACAATAAAATTAGTTAGACTTCATTGTCCTAGAGGAAATAAGCTTGGACACATACAGTATCTGGTGTTAAGAAATACAAAATAACAAATGCAGACACGCCATACATGTCTGCAGCCAGTTCACCTGTATGTTGCCCCAGCTCAACCCCCTTTCCCACAACATTCAGCTTCCTTCCAGCCTCCACATACACTACACTTCCTATCCAATGCCCCACCCCCCCACTAACAACCTCCAGCACACAGCCCTTGCCCCCCAACTTGTCCCTCACAATAAACCAGATGAGGAAAGAACTGAAGAAGATCAAGGTGAGAAAGGCTGCAGGTCCGGGTGGCATCAGCTCAAGGCTTCTAAAGTCCTGTGCAGACCAGCTGTGTGGGATTGTCCAGCACATCTTCAACCTGAGCCTGAAGCTGGGGAGAGTGCCACTGCTGTGGAAAACATCCTACGTGGTACCACTGCCAAAGACACCGCACACCAAGGACCTCAACAGCTACAGGCCGGTGGCACTGACATCGCACCTGATGAAGACCCTGGAGAGGCTGGTCCTTGTCCACCTCCTCCCCCTGGTGAGCGCATCATAGGACCCACTTCAGTTCGCCTACTAACCTGGCATTGAGGTGGATGACGCTGTCATCTACCTTCTACATAGATGCCACTCTCACCTGGAAAAGGCTGGAAGCATGTTTTTCTCCAGTGGCCTCAACATCATTCAGCCCAAGCTTCTGAGGAACAAGCTGGAGCAGACAGGGATGGGCCACCACCTTACAGCATGGATCCTGGACTACCTCACCAACCATCCACATTATGTGCGGATACGGGAGTGTGAGTCTGACCTGGTGTCCTGCAGCATGGGAGCCCCGCAAGGAACCATTTTGTCTCCCTTCCTCTTCACCCTATACACCTTGGACTTCACACACAACTCTGCTAACTGCCACCTGCAAAAGTTCTATGACGACTCTGCAATCGTTGGCCTCATCACAGTTGGCGATGACAGGGAATATAGAGAACTGAACCAGGACTTCATTGGCTGGTGACAGCGGAACCGCCGGTGTAAACACTTTCCTCCTGTACCAGTGAACATCCAGGGAATGGACATTGAGATAGTGAGATCTTACAATACCAGGGTGTTCATCTGAACAATGGGGAATCTGCATTTCTGTGGAGGAAGCAGTTGTTATTGGAGCAATTAGTGAGCTGTGTGCCCAGCAGCGTTATCAGCCCTACAGAGCGATCGTCTGAAGTCACGGTTTGAGGCTTTGAGGAGGGCGATGGACACAAAACGGAGGCATTCCCAATTTAAATATCCAGAATTTCCACTGTAAAATAAGTAAATAAATATATGAATTAAATGTATTACAAGCTGAAGTCAACTTAAGTATTGTAAGACATTATTGACACGATCTCCAACATCCGCCTTCTCTTACAGAATATCACTGACTATAAGGTCTGCATCTAAAAAAAAAAGAACAACACTGGGAAATTGGTGCAAACTACTGTAAACAGGGGTGTGATATTGCCAAAAATTAGATAAGGTTATAGCACAAATAGCACAAGCTATTTTCTTTTGTTTGTCACAATCAGGTTTAGACGTACACAATATATGAGATGTACCTTAAAATTACTGGGTTTTACACGTCTAATCTTCTCTGTCTTGTCCCAGGAAATGTCTGGCGTTATCCCTATATTCCTGACAGGAATATAGTAGGTTTATACAACTCCGCAGAGGCAGAGGAGAGGAGGGAAAGGCTGCAGCTCACTGATATGACCGTTGTACTGCGCCTCTTGCTGTTAATGTAATCACCAATGCTCACTTTATTATTCCCGCTGCTGTGTGACCTTGCTGCTTCCTCCTTCCCTCGTTCCCTGCCACTCCCGTCTCACACACTCTGTGTCCAAGTTTGGATTGTTACCCAGTTCTCCCTGAAGTTTCCTCAACAAACCGATTGTACTTGAACTTGCATGTAAGAGAATCTACAAGAAAACTGTCATCCAAAGATGTGAAATGAGCAGCGATCTGGAGCTCAGCGGGAGTAAACTGATGAGTCACTTTGCATTGAGTCACAATATGTCGATTGGGCAAAGAACAGCAATCCATCTGATAACTTTACTTTGCACAGATTTTCTCATGTCAAGAGAAAGACATTAAATGACTTGACATAATTAGGACAAATGCAAAATGTAGGATCACTCAAATTACAAATCCATTAAAATGCAATTTACCATACTTACATCATGCCTTTAAAATTGACCTTTGATTTAATAACCCAGATACTGGACTTTGACCTGTTAGAATAGGGCCTGTGTGTAGAATTTAAGCTGTGTGGAAACACAGATCTCACACAGTATCCTGACTCTCAGACGACGTGGAGCTGAAGCCAAACTTCTGGATTTTGATACAAGAACTAGGTGAGACATTTGATTAACTTTTAATTTAACAATTTAACAACAAAACACTTTTGCTAAACACATTTTATGCCACTGGCCTATTAGTATTTCATACAGGACAATATACAAGATACAGTATATATGTTTCAGCCCAATTTAAAAACCCAGAATTTCCATTGTAAAATAGGTAAATATATAAATATATGAACAAAATGTATTACAAGCTAAAATCAACTCAAGTCTTTTCAGATATTAGTGACACGATGGCCGACATCCACCTTCTCTCACTGCATGTTTAACATAAGCCAAAAACTGTCATATCACAGACTACAAGGTCTGCATAAAACAAAACAAAAAAACACTGGGAAATTGGTGCAAATTACTGTCAATGCATGTGATATTACCAAAAATGTTATATATAACACAAGGTATTTTCTTTTGTTTGTCACAATCAGGTTTAGACATACACAATATGTGAGATGTACCTTAAAGTTAATGGGTTTTACAAGTCTAATATTTTCTGTCTTGTCCCAGGAAATGTCTGGCGTGATCCCTATATTCCTGACAGGGCTCTGCTTCGTATTGCTCAGGCCCACTTGTTGCAGCGGCAGCAGGATTCTGGTAGTGCCTGTTGATGGCAGCCACTGGATCAACATGGAGTTAATCCTCCGAGAGCTGCACTCCAGAGGCCACAACATCACTGTGCTGCGCTCTGCCAAGAGCTGGTACATCCCCAGCACTTCTTCGATTTATACCTATATTAATGTGACCATGCTGGAGGATGAGTCGGACATGAACTTCTACAATAAAATGCTACAAAATGTTATGGAATGCCGCTGGTTGCCACATTTTATAAGCACCTTCTGCCAACAGCAGTTGATCACATCCATGTTGGGAAAGGGCCATGAGATCCTTGCTAGAGCAGCTGGTACAATGTTAGATGACCCTGTTTTTATGAAGAAGCTGCAAGATGCCAAGTTTGACTTAATGTTAACGGACCCTGCTTTGACTTTAGGGGTTCTTCTGGGTAGTTATCTCAAGCTGCCGATGGTTTTCAATGTGCGCTGGATTAATAATGGGGAGGGCCATCACACCATAGCACCCTCTCCTGTCTCCTATGTCCCCGTGTCAGGAAGCGAACTTCATGATCAGATGAATTTTCTGGAACGAAACAAGAATATGTTACATTATCTTTATAGTTTTGTTGAACACCACTTTGTCATTAACTCTCCCTACTCCGATCTGCTCCAGCGGCATTTCCCTCCTGGGACTGACCTGCTGTCGTTGGAGCGGGCAGCTGATATCTGGCTGGTGAGGACGGATTTTGTCTTTGAGTTCCCTCGACCCACCATGCCCAACGTGGTCTACATAGGGGGGTTCCAGTGCAAACAGTCCAGTCCCCTCCCCGTTGAGCTGGAGGCCTTCATGCAGAGCTCCGGGGAGCATGGGGTGGTGGTCATGTCTTTGGGGACGTTTGTGTCGGCCATTCATCGTGAGGCCATAGAGGCCATCGCTGCTGCTTTTGCTCAACTCCCTCAGAAGGTGGTGTGGAGGTTTGTGGGGGAAAGACCTTCATCCCTGGGGAACAACACCCTACTGGTGGACTGGTTACCTCAAAGAGACCTCCTGGGACATCCCAAGACTCGCGCCTTTGTAGCCCACGGAGGAACCAATGGCATGTACGAGGCCATTTACCACGGCGTTCCCGTTCTGGGCCTGCCCCTGCTCTTTGACCAGTTTGACAACCTAGTCCGGCTAAAGGTACGCGGGGCAGCTCGGGTGGTGGAGACCAAATCAATCACCAAAGAAGGCTTCCTGGAGGCTCTCAAGGACATCCTGGAGACTCCCTCATACCGTGACAACATACAGCGTCTATCACAGCTACACCGTGACCGGCCAATGTCTCCAATGGACACCGCCATCTTTTGGATTGAGTACGTCATCCGGAACAAAGGAGCAGCCCATCTGCAGTCAGCAGGTTTTAATCTTCCTTGGTATTCCTACTTCTGCCTGGATGTGGCAGTTTTAATTATGGCCCTTATTGGAGTCTTTGTCTGGGCTTCAGTCTTCGTCTGTAAGATTATCTGCTGCCGAAGGTCCCGGAGGAAGATGAAGGCAGAGTAACGGATTGGAAAATAACTCATGCTTAGTGACTACCCAGTGTTTGTTGGGGGAATAAACACTCAAGCATTCTCATTTACTATTTTGAAACCTTTCTGTTCCATATTCTAACTATTTAAAATGAATAATTGTAATCATGTTTGTTAGAAATACAGACAATCTTACCATATAAATGCTTTTGTCAGAGATGTCAAATAAATACCTACGAGAAGTCAAGGCTTGTTTCAAGGAGATTCATCAGTTTTTGGGATTTATCTGGAACTGTTTTGAAATCATACAAATTAGTATAAAACATTAATCATAGTGGGCCCTTTCAAGCCTTTCTAAGCTAGTTTTCATAAACAACTGAAAAGTCCATAACCTTTCACCACAATGTGTTATCAGAATGCTCTAACACGAGAACAAGCAGGTGGAAGGTGGTACAACACATATTCTGAACTCAAATTTACATCAATTTGAAATATTGCAAAGGATTTGTTTACTTACATGAGTATTCCATCATATCATTCAAAGTGGTTTATCAAAGATCTCACAGACAGAAATTGTGACAGCTGCCATCTGACAGCCCGTGAGTTTCCTCACTTCCTGTATTAGTCAAACACTTTGCACCCATGAACCTACTGAGAGCTCACATCATGGACTGTGGAGAGAAAATCTAAATCCTCAAGAAAATAACAGGACACCATATTATCCTTTTTATACTAAATGCTTTTTTTCAATAATTTTAAATCTATTCTTTTCTGCAGGGCTCTGCCGACACAATTCTGACAAACGTATGTAAGTTGTGTAATCACATTGGCCAAGAAGTTGCACGTTTTCATGTCTACATGGTCATGGCCTACAGTCATTTTGTCATCATTCTATGAATGTAAAAAGCATGTATGAAGGGAAATGTCACACACTATACGAATGCTATACAGTACCTTTAAACAGATTGTAATTGCAAACACACATGGAGTCTCATCATGAGATCACTTCAGTGCCCACCACAAACAAAATGTAAGATTGTGGTGTACACATTGATTTTGTGGCAGCTAAATTTGGCCAGGTCAAACAGAGGGCCTAAACACTGAGGGGAAAAAAAAAATACTTTGGTCACTAGACTGTAGCAGAGCTGAAGATCATTCAACACAGTATGGTAAAGTATCTGTTCAGTGATTGGGCAATGTTTGGTGGTGATTCAGAGCTAAAGGGACATGGAAAATGGGCTGCATATTAACATATACAGTATGCCCAGATACTGTAGTTCACACCTTACTCCACTGAGTCACCAACAGGCCCCAGATGTAGTGCTGATAATAGTCATAGTATGGTGATAATGCATTTCAAGAAGGACTAATCAAGTAGATATTAGAGGAAAGAGCAATATGTTCCTGTAGTCCTGTCTCCTGTCACCAGTAAACTGTCTTTTTGAGTGGCAGAAGGATGTTGCAATGAGGTTGCCTGTTTTCTCACTGCAGCTTCCTGTATGATTTTTTTATTTTTTCAGAACTCAGTTCTGGCACCAAGGCTTAAGGATTAACCTTATAGACCCTGTTTGGCTTAGTGAGCCATATTGGGGTTCTAATAGCCTGGTACCTCAGATGGCTTCATCCCCATCTTTCTATGTACAACTCCTTGTTCCATGACAAGATGTAATAACAACCACCTGATATCCGTCCCTCCATGTCCAATGTGGTGTATATATAGCGCCAAGGGGACCTTAATGTTGAGCTCTGGAGAGCATGAGGTGGTAGCAATGCCCCAAGGGACTGGTCAGTTTATTAGTCACAATCTTGGATTATTTAATAAATCAGGCATTGGTGACATTTTTAAAGGAAACAAAGTGAGTGATTAGACCCTCCTCCCCTTGAAACTATGTGGTAAAAATACTGCCTAACACCCATTGTCTTAACAAACCCATTCTTCCTCAAAACAATTTCAATTGTGTAAGTTTTTTAATTCCCACTGCTGCACAAGCAAAGTTCACCCTGGGTAAATTACACTTATTTATTGTCTATTACGTGGATAAATGAAATAAGTCATTTTCAAGCATTTGATTTTATACATCCACTTTTAGTGTAATGAATGTGTTTTCTTCTACAGGGTTTTTTGTATAGTTCCTCTTTCTGTGGTTCTAATCTTGTCCGTCAATCAACTCTATTCTTGGTTTTTGTCACTTAGGGGGAGAGCACTTTGACTTGCATTCATTCTCTGGAGACTAACCCTACTGTACAGTAAGTGAAAAGCCAAACAAAAGTTGATGGTTCACTCTTTGAATCCCATACACTTACACACATTTAAAGCTAGAGTTGGTAACGTTCTTCAAAAACATTTAGCATCTTGCTTACTCTTGCTTCTGTCTCAAGTTTACCAATCTAAGCTTAAACAAGATGCATTAAATAAACATAAAATGAAATACACTTCTCTATTCAGTTATGGAAACCAAATCTAAATCTGCTAAATTCAATTTGGAAATACTTACATAGTAAAAACACTATTCGCGTGTTGAAAAGCATGTTCAAAGACAGCATAGCATAAGGGTTAATGTGTTTAATGGCACGTAGCCAGCGGCCGACACTATAAAGGGCATTAGAGGACAATACATTAGTTCCCTCCCTCACAGCTCCTGTCCATCTCAATCATCCTGTCTGCTACTGGAGTAAGAGAGCGGGAGACCGAGAGAATGAGAGAGTATATGTTTTTGTTCTGGGCCAGAAAGGCTCCTGCCTCAGGATGTTGCCTTTTAAATCTGAAGAAATGGGTTTCCTGTGGAGGAAACGATCACAGAACAGACAAGGCTTGGTCGAGACACCGTGTTCCCAACATTTCTTGAACACAGGTCACCCAGCTGCAGAGCGGGCAGCACACTTCTGTGGGACATATTTGGTCTCATAGTCTTCGAGTGGTGAGTAAAAACGTCTTGTTTTGGAATATATGGTTTGCACCTGCTGATGCTAAACCATTTCAGAATGCTCTTGATTTCTGCTCTGCAGGTGTTTGTCTCGCCTGATGGATCCTGGATGCTTTGGAGATTGGTTGACTTACAGCACATAATCTGATCCTGATCTTTTCCACAGGAGAAAGCATTTATAAATAATATGGAGTGGACAAATGACAAGTGGAACTAATCAGAGTTTTGCTTTGAGTGAATGAATGGGTATTTCTACACCAACTCATCATCCTGCAACTGTCAATCCATGTCTGAGTAAGGTCACCTGTAGTTTCCCATGTCAGGTGCTTTTACCAACAGAGACATGTCCAATGACAGCTGCAACCTCCCGTTGGACACGGACACGTTTGGCCTGACCTGTATCTATGGCCTGATCTTCTCTTTGGGTCTCCCCAGCAACCTGCTCTCTCTCTGGGGACTGTACCACCTGGGCCGCTCCGGTGTAGGAGGCTGCCAGCTGGTCTACATTCTCAACCTGCTGCTATCAGACCTCCTCCAGCTGCTCACCCTACCACTGTGGATCCTTTATCTCCAAGGTGGTCACCGCTGGCCTTACAGCCAGATAACTTGCGAGCTGGTGGGCTACGTTTTTTACGTAAACGTCTATGCCAGCGTCATGTTCTTGTGCCTGATAGCGCTGGACCGCTGCCTGGCCATCGTGTACCCGCTTAGCAGCCGCAGAGTACGGTCTGTCCGGGTGGCAGCGTTGTCTGGCGTGGCAGTGTGGACCCTCACCTTCCTGTTCTGTCTGAGTGGACTGCTGCCGTCCGTGTTCGACTCTGATAGACTGCTGTGTCTGGAGCAGTACCCAGTCAGCCCCAGATACGCCCGCTTCAAGATCACAACGGTGGCCCTGGGCTTCCTGCTGCCATGTGCCATACTCGGGTGAGTTAACCCCAAGTTCCCAGTGAGGACACTCCCACATGTTGTGTTTCCAAATCTGTTCAAAGCTTCTGTGGTCAAATGAGTTGACAATTTACAATGCACAAGAACGTATTTTGTGTCAAAATATTATAAATGGTCAGAATTGTGCTATTTACCAACCTCAAGTTAAAATAATCCAATAAAATCTATGAAGAGTATTGCAACATGAACTGAAATGTAGCTGAAAAAAACTCTTTAGGGCCCCCTTTGTGATACAGAGCTCCTTTTCCTTGTTTATGTGTGGTACAGTTTGACAAAGGGAAATGGTATAATGTCCTTGGGGAACATTATATAATCAAGTATATTCTGATGGCTGATGTTCTCATTTGCAACTCTGCTTCCTCCCTTAGCTACACTTCAGCCCACATTGGGGTGACACTCCGACGATCTCCGTCTCTCTCTGACCATGAGCGGCACAAAATCGTGGGCATCCTCGTCGTGATCACCATCAACTTCATTGTTGTGTTTGGACCCTATCACCTCGTGGGCGGATACAGATTTGTGTCCTTGCTGCTGACTGACGAGCCGTGTGGAATGGAGCGTTCCATTTTCCTCATCTATCGCCTGTGCTACGGTCTGACCAGCCTCAATACCCTGCTGAATCCCCTCTTCTATATCTTCCTGTGCCCCGATGCCCGGCTAGAGCTGCAAAGATCCTTGCCCTGGTTGGGAAGGGGGCAAAGCACACACAAAAAGATTAGCCTCAGTACCAGAGCTCCCTCAGACAACCAGAGGGAGAGCGAAACTGGACATAATAATCTTCTGGAGATATAACTTGGATATTACCTCAGAGCTGAGCTCCTGGTATTTAGTCAAAGCTAGTGTGCCACCAAGTGGAAGTGCATGTGTACAGTGTGTTTCAGCTCTCAGCAAATGCATTCATTTTCTTCAGGGTGCTTCAACCTCATCAGCTAAAAGATTTCCACGAGTTCAAGTTTCAGTTACTCGTCGTGATCTAAATACTGTTTCAGAGGAACACAGATCTCAAAGTGCAACTGTTGCTGACATAAACTCAACACATGTATAATTCAGTACAAATAGGCCAAAAATCCACTCTTTTGTGATATCCAATACCATACCCAAATTATACAACCAAAATAAGATCCATCTATTTACTAGATGGATCAATCATTTCACAATCAAACTATGTTTTTTTACTGTCATGTTACAATTAAAAATGTATCAATTAAAAATGAATGTTCAATCACGTGTTTGCTGTCAGTCATTTTCAACACAAGCATGACTGTGGCTACATGACTGCAAGGGAAGTGACACACCTGAATGTTTTTCCGTTTATTAATGTTTAGAAATGTCACAGCATTAATACATATAGACTCTACATGAATGGAAATTATTACAATAATGGACATTTATGACAACAATTCTCTATTATAAGCATAATGGGCAAAAAAATAAGATGCGCATTCTGTATTTCAAAAATGTTGCCTGTGTCAGCTCCTGCTGATAACATCTAGTGAGAGACACATGTTTACAAAGCAAGCAACTAAAAAGAAGCAATAATGTATGGGTCATTCAACAAAATATACACATCAGACAAGCATCCACGTCAAAATAAGAAAAGCATGCAGAATACTGTATGATTGTTCCAGCAGTTGTCATTAAGTACACACTGCAGAGTAATGCTGACTAAATCACCTGTCATAATGGCTGCTGTGAAAAGGGCCTACAGGAAGCGATAGGAGGTGAATGTTAGTTGATAGTTTGTAATGATACAAAGCCAAGAAGTAAACGGAAGCCTGGCCATTAATGCAATACGTTTTCTTTCAGTTCTCAGCAGGATTAGCAAGACTTTCATTCTTCTCCTGATCCTCTCCATTCAGACAAAAGGTTGTAATCGAATTCCTCTGCTTCAACACAATCTCGGTGGTGGAGATAGAGCTTTGAGCGGTGCTGCGGCGTCGGCCAAACTCTGCCAGATCCTCAGCCAGGACACTCTCCATCACCGCACCCAGAGAATGTCTGATCTTCTTGCACAGGTCAGGGCAGCTGAACACGTACAGAATGGGATTAAGGACACTGTTAAGGAAGCTGATGCTTGCTGAGATCGGGAGGACCTTGCCTGCAAATATCTGGGCAGGATGCCCACTGGGAGCTATCACCTCCATAATGATGATGATGTGGTACGGGGCCCAGCAGAGTACGAAGCTCACCACCACAGCCACCACGAGCCGAACGAAACGGAAAGGGCGCCGGTGGCCTCTGCGTGCCAAGCTGGTATTGACGGCGGCATAGCTGAGGATGATGATCAGAAGAGGGATCAGGAAGGACAGAAAGAGCTTCATGAAGGCTAACGCCTCTTTGCGATGCTTACATAAAGGTCCCAGGTCAAATGGATCAGCAGGGAGGAGTCGAGCAAAATTGTAGTAACACTGGATCTTGCCATTAGGTTGATGAATGGTGTCACGGAATATGTAGAAGGGGATGGTGAAGACCACAGCCAAAGCCCAGATCACCCCACATATCCTCCCCACTACTTGGACGTTCCTGTAGTTCTGGGCCCAGACGGGTCTCAGCACCACCAGGCAGCGGTCCATAGAAATGGCCGCCAGCAGGAAACCACTGACAAACATGTTGAGAAAGAAGATGGAGGAATGGATGCGGCAGAAGGTTGTGCCCAAGGTCCAGGTGCTGCCACAGGCCATGTAGAGGGTGAAGAAGGGCAGGGAGGAAGTGGCCAGCAGGTCTGAGGCTGCAAGGTTCAGGATCCAGACACTAATGACAGAGCGACGGACATGGAAGCCCACTACCCCTAGGATGAGGAGGTTCTCCAGGATGCCAATGGAGGAGACCAAGCCATGGAGGGAAATGGTGAACATGCTCAAAGAGCTCATCTTTTCTGTTTGGTTTGATGGGTGAAAAATGCTGATATTTGCCCTCAGGCTGACAGGACAGTGCACCATCTTGGAGGGTAGATGTCTTGACGTCGAACTTTAAGTTGGCCTTTTGCTTCACACTGATGTGATCTATGACAGAGATTAGAATACAATGAATGTCCGATTCTATGCCCATTCAGATATTTAGATAATTCAAAAACAATAAATTGTTTTAATTCATGCAAAAACAGTTTAATGTTCATGACAAGACACATATTTGTGGTTATTCTCATTATGCATAAGCCACTTTTTGGCTAGAACACATTTTTACGTGTTTCCCAAGCACCAAGAACAAGAAACACACCAGAGGTGTGAAAAACATGCGTTTGCTGTTTTGCATATTCGCTTGCATGCAAATGATCTGTTTCTCTGTTTCATTTGATTCTTTTGCACAACCTTTAAAACGAATACTGGAAACTCTTCAGTCTGTAACTTAAGGTGATTAAACTAAGTATTTAGGCTTTAAACATCAGTAAATTCATTTAATTAGGGTTGTCAGGTTGTGAAAAAAACACCATCCAGCCAATAGTTCACAACCTAGCAATCCAAATATTGATCCTATTGATGGATCTAACTAAGGCATTTATAAGTAATTCATTAACAATTAACTAAACAAACACTAGTTACAACTATTTTTCTTGAGGCAAGATGGCAACAACATTAGGTCAATTAGTTTATCATACGCCCGAAAAAACACCTTGATGTCAAAACCAAACTACCTCCAGACAAGAGAATCAGGGCAGAACATACAAGGATCGGACACAAGCTCACTTTAAGTACGCATTGCTTTGACATGACATCTATTGCACTTCTGTCCATCCTGGGAGAGAGATATGTTGCTCTCCCTAAGACAGAGGATGTCGCATGTGTACAGGTTGAGGCAAATTTGTGATTTGTGATTTTGGGCTATACAAAATAAATTTAATTGAATTGAATTAATAGCTTCACTGACCAACAACAGTCCATCTTTGCAAACTTTGCAAAAATTGTGTTTTATTGTAAAACTATAATATACTTGCTATGTGTGAAACTTGAGTTAAAGAACAGCATTTTTCATTGCATTTCAACAGCTGAAAGAATGTATCTTTCTGTTTGCAGACCGTGTGGTGCCATTGTGTGTCTTTGCAGTCTTATCTTTCACATTTCCCACATCCTCTCTATAGTTCTGTTCATTGTGTAACCTTTCAACTATTTGATCATGTCACACAGCATGCAAAATATCTCTGCGTGTTGATACGTTTAAGGTATAGTAATCAACTCAAGAGGCTCACATGATTTCTGATTTCTGATGAAACACAATTGCATGCTTATAAGATAAGATAAGATCATTTCCAGTGGGGAAATTTATACTGTTAAACCTGAGGCGTTCACATTTGAAATAAAAAGTGTCATTCAGAAAATGTATCACTTGTTTTCAGCCCTAAGTTAAGCAAATGTTAGTTTAGCTCGGCCATTTGTGGCTACTACTCTGCTGCAAACTCTGCAAAAGCAAAGACACATAAGAAATTACATTTTACGTCTGGTGACAGGTCTTAATAATCTAAAGGCATTTGACCCATTTCCAAAGCACATTTAATTTGTAAGGAGTGAAAAAACATCTTTAAGTGGATTAAACTGTCTCCTTGCAAGATTCTTACACTTGTGAAATGCGTGACCCCTCGTGCTAAGCACAAAGACCTCCTCCTGGAGGAAAAAAAGAATCCCTCACCTTTTCCTCTGTCCCTGGTGGGTCTGATGAGATCTCTGTCATAATGTTTCTGTATCACACAGTATGCAGCACTTTCCTCATGGGCGTATGAGTACAGAACAGAAATAGGAAGTCACAACTTTCAAAGAAAACAAGTAGAGTGTGACACCAACCCAATTTGACTCAACCTCAAGTCAGGCTGATATTTGGTCAACTGGTTTCTGAAAAGCAACTGAGCAAGGAAATGAGTAATACAATATTTCAAAAAGTTAGTAGTTGATGAATCAAGCTATTTCAGTTACCTTCCACCAGGCTTTTCTTTCCCCTGATTTATTATTTTCTTTTCTTTATTGCTTCCTTTTGCTCTGTTTTGTATGAATCTGGTTTATTTCTTGTGCCTTTGCAACACAGAGCTTCGAAGTTCCTACTCTGAGCCGTACTCTTACGACCCCAGCGGCAGTAAAGGCGAATGCTATGGGCGCCATCCAGCCACAAGGCGCGCCAAATGAAGAAAAAAACATTTTTACTAATACTATTTTTACTAATACTATTTAATAACCATTGTTTCAAACGATTGCAATAAAAGCCCACTGTAACATAACTATGAAGCCTGTTAAATTGCCCCTATTTTCTGGTTTGCCCGCAGAATCACCCTTTCGCATCATCCTACTTGCTAGTAAATAGATAGAGTTAATGTCACTTACTCACATCTTGAATTCATTTGAATTGGAAAGACTATTCAGGTGCTTGGGGAATAACCTACAGCTTGTTTTTTTAGAAATACAGCTTTTCTCTTAAGTGCATAACTTTGTCTCAAAGACATGAAGCTAAGCAGTGTCTGTGCGAGTGCATGAACACAATGATTGTTGAATTTGGACACTTTTCTCAGAACTGATCTTATTCATACAATCCACTGTCCTCTCTGGATTGTGGAGACATCCTTTTAAACTACTGGACTCTTTCCACCACAGTGTTATTCAATTCGCCACTCAAGACAACTATTGCACTCACCACAGTTATATGAAAAGGATGGATAGCCAACACTGACGTATCTATAAGGTGGAGGTTTTCTCGTCCAGGTCAAAGTGAACAACCGTGACACCAGCACATCTCAGGGTAGTTGAGCCTTAAAAGTTCTTCATACCAAATCTTAACTGGGGAGGACTGGCTTCTGGCACTATATGCAGCTCACTACTGGAGTGGACTGCAAACCAAACTGAAGACACACGTTCCTTGTTATGTGATGAATGGCGTCTGGTCTGAGACATCCTGATTGAATAAAGCTTAACTAACTATTGACGATAATCTTGTTAATATTGTTATTACAAAGACTTTATATGTACATGACATTCAGATGTGCATATTGCTATTTTTTATATAAGTGTTCTATAATAGCATCAATAGCCTATCTAAATGGATCTTGATATCGTTGACAGGCTTTATTAATACATTTAGAATTGGCCTATAATTAGAATTGCAAAGTCAAACAGGATGTCAACATAATTATGAGTTTTCAAACTCAAAATTGCTTCGAAGTAATGAAATATACAATCCACTGGTGAAATACTTTGGATAACAGCGTACTAATTGCACATGCATGCTACCACAGGTCTGCACGAGTTGTTTACTGTGTTCTTACCGAGGAGAAAATTCAAAATATGAGAAGATTGGTAAATGTGACAAGTTCTGCTAAATCACTAGTAACTCGTCACTATGGAACAAATCTGTTGGTACGAGTGGTTCTTGCCCCGAGGCCCAATGTGCTTATGGTTTAGCATACCTGGTCAATAGCTAGGCTGCAGTTAGCGCTTTCAATACCTGTGCCACAAGTATCAGTTTTTGTGTCTTGGTAATTGCAACAACAATGAAAACACACTATAATACGCTTATACTTTTGTATTTCTTAAGTGCAAGGTTTATTTGTGATTTATGGAGGTGCTTCACTCCTCTAAGCACCTGGAGAGAAAACACTTGAGTAAATGCTGAGAGATATGGGTTCACATTTTGCTCCTTTATCCAATATATGCCTGTGGTGTGTCAGCACAGAGCAAATACAAGCCTCAGGTTTGACAGTGTTGTGTTCTGGGCTACCTGCTGGAGCTCTGTGGTGCTGATAAATGTAGTGTTCTCAAACTTTTTCTGGCAGTTCCTTCTGGTGAGAAGCTGTCAAAGCTGCCCTAAATTTGCTGCATTTTAATGATATACCGCTTTTTCTCTCTTAATCTGTGTTGAAATAATACAAATTGTGTTTTGTTTTTAAATGAGTTTCTTTAAATTGACATGATGAAAGATGGTGATTAAGCAAAGGATAAAGTGTCAAGCACTTACTTCTGCTTTTTGTCTCACTGCTTTATGTGTGTGTGCGTGCTTGTGTGTGAGTGTAAGAGAGATAGAGATAGAGAGAGAGAACGAGAAAACATGGCTGTACATAGCTACTTAGACAACGACAGGACAAACCTTCCTCCTGTTGCTTTTGAAACATTAGGAATTGCAGGTAATTTTCTCGCATTTCAGTCACCAACCACCAAACTGTTTGCTTTTGGCAATATAGAGCAAAACAATATAGAGTAAAATTCACTGTCCTTTCCTTTGCAAATATGAAATACTTGGAATATGAAACAAATTCAAAGTAATATATATATATATCTGTGGTGGCGGGCATGGGTGGCTCAGCTGTGGAGGGGACGGAGTGTGGGAGTGGTTCAGGGAACGGTTCCGGGAAGAGACTTAATTAGGCGCAGCTGAAACTGATCCTGATTGTCTCACTCTCAGCTGTATTTAATCAACAGTAGCGACGGAGGCGAGGGGGACGGCTCGGGACGAGCACAGTGATACACTGGGACGGACAGGACGGGAGAGCACTGCAAAACTCCCGCGGCATGTGCTCAGAGGCAAGGCAGGAGAGCACACGGCCAAGCCAGTCAGATTCCATGACAATAAAGAACATTTGAAACCGTCATTCAACCGTGTGCTGGCATCCTTGTGCTCACCAGACCCACCGGGTAGCAGAGAACCTGTTACAATATCCATCCAAGTCAGAAAATATCCCAGAAGGTTCAGCAGCCTGCTGTGTGAGATTAGACCTGCAATCGTTGTTACTCATTACTGTCAATGATAACACACCACTGACCCACGTTTCAAGCCAGTTACCTAATACAGGAGAAGGCAGTACATATTGATTTGGAGTCTTTGAATAAAACTTCAAAACTTAAATTACTCAAGACATTGAAAGGCATCACGGCAGAGAATGACATCATTTGTTAAAATGTAGTAATACTGTGTAAAACCCCTGCTGTGTCTCAGTGGGATTTACAAAAACTTCTCCACCCATCTATCCTTAGTAGACTTGACCATTGTAGTTTACACAAGTCTTTACAGTGGCTTCCTTTGTGTCAAATAACAGAGTTTAAATAACTTCTTCTTGTTGCTTAAAGCACTGAATAGTTTAGGGCCAAAAATGCATTTTTGATCTGCTGCTCTGTTATAAAATGTCAGATCATCTGGTACAGGTCTGCCTACTGTCCTCTAAACTTTATGGAGCAGCGTCATTTAATCTGGAACAAACTCAGAGAGATCATCTTATTTCAAAAAACGCTTGTTCACCACTTATTCACATCTTGCCCCTTGCCGTTTTATTTTATCTTATTATTTTAGCTTATCTTATCCTAATCTTACTTTGTTAAAATCCTATTCATATGTCTCTTGTTATACTGCCTATGTGTTTTCTTAAGGCCCCTTTTCAGTCTCATGTATTGGATTGTTGTTAAAAAGGTGTTATTCAGATGAACTTGCCCTGCCTCGTCTAACAGAATATAATGCAATAGTTGACATCTCATTCTGTAATTTGCATGCACAAAAGTAGGCAGACTGTTAGTGCACTCAAGTGTGGCACAAAGACATTCAAACCACAAAATGTGTGACAAATGTCAAATAAATAAACCGCTGATGGTGTTCTAGAAAGATCTGGGTTTAGCTAGGGTCAACGGACCGATTACAATAGCTGTCGGAAATTCACAGCTTCTCACTTCCTTTAGTAGGAGTACTGACACCCACAAAATGTGCGCCACTTGGGTCACGTACAGACATTTTTCCGCTGACGGCGTAGCTGTCGTCCTCGACCCCTTTACTCATACCGCCATCACACTGTTACGGTCTGAACACCGGAGATGTTCAAATTGTACGCGCTCTTGGTTCCTGTCTTTGGAGCTTGTAAGTCACTGCGAACGATATTTTCCGTGCCTGAAAATTAGATTTTTTTTAACTTTTGGAATGTCTAAAGTGATGTCTTGCATTCACTGGTCATTGATTTCTATCTTTCTGTGTTTCAGATGGCGTTCTACTCTACGCTAAGCCCGGACACAACGTGACTTTACCGTGTTTCTATGTCTCCAGGGCCAACAATCTGTGCTGGTACAAGCAGGTTGCAGGGGAGCAACCTCAGATAATATCCTCGTTCTACAAACATTCACCTGACAGCAACATCTTCTACAACCAGTTTAAAGACAACAAACGCTTTTCAGTTCACACTGATGCAGAGTTCTACCATTTGAACATTTCTAATGTCCAGGACTCGGATTCAGCTATGTACTACTGCGGACATATCAGTATTGCAGTCACTGAATTTGAAAATGGCACGTTTTTGGTTTTGAAAGGTATTTTGATTTTGGACACACAAATCTCTTTTTCCCAGTTGATTTTCCATTTAATAACTCTTTCTATACACGTGTATTCCTCCAGAGTCCAGCCGCAGGTCTTTCCTCCAGCAGCCGGCGTCTGACTCTGTGAAGCCAGGAGGCTCTGTGACTCTGAACTGCACCGTGCACACTGGAACCAGCGACACAGAACACAGTGTGTACTGGTTCAAAAAGGAGGATTCAAGAAATTCCCACTTGGGTATTATGTACATCCACACGCACATCAGCAGTCAGTGTGTACAGAGCCTGGAGCCTCCTGCACAGAGCTGTGTTTACAGCTTATCGAAGACAAATGTGAGCCGGTCTGATGCTGGGACGTACTACTGTGCCGTGGCTTCATGTGGAGAGATACTGTTTGGGAGCGGAACAAGACTGGACGTTGGAGGTGAGCAAAGTTTAGAGAAAAAAAATCTAAATTAAAGACACTTTTTATTTGGGCTTGTCTACATTGCTTTTTCTTTTCTCAGAGCAACAGGGTGACATTTTTCCTCTCTTGATGAAATGCTCGGTCGCAGCTCTGCTTGTGTCTGGTGTCTTGAACATCATCCTAATCGGCATCCTCTGCAAAATGTCCAGGAGGAAATATCTCCATTCTCAAGGTACTACTAATTCATATTTACTAGAGAAGAAGTCGGTCTTTCTATCTCTTGTTTTAATGGGGATACAAGGAAGGATTGATCCACACACAATTCTAAACCATGTTTTCATGCGTAGTGCTATCTCGCCATGCAGCCAGTTTGGGTTTTATTTTGAGGTATCTGTCTCTGAGACGTCATTTGAAAAGTACATATAATTTCTATTTTCCAGCAATAATGTCAAGGGTACTCGAGAAAATCCACAGATCTTTTTTTTTTTATCATCAATATCATCAATCATGCGAATGACTAAAGGTAATGACAAAAAAAATCTGATGTTTTTCTGTTACTACAGTGCTGCAACCCCACTTGAGTGTCCCAGAAGACACCCCTGACAGTCAGGTAAGCTCAAAAATCTTCCCAACATGTGAGCTGTATTTATATTTTGTATATAGACGCATCCCATGTCTAAATAAGTTTAGCATCAGTTATTATTAATAACTTAGTAATAACGTCTGTTATTTTCTTCAGAATGAGGAATCTGATGCTCCACAGTACGTAGCACTGGACTTCAAGAAGAGGCACGGCCAGAGCAGAGGACAGAGGAACCCAGAGGAGGAGACCATTTATGCTGGAGTTAGACTGTCTCACCTGAAGTGACCACACCTTCTACACCACCCACCAACTCCTGTAATTTAAATTCCTATTATAACATTTTATTAAAAAGTTGCTTAATTTGAAACTCATGCCACTAGTAAGCATCAAACAACTAGTTGCTATGAAAAGATATAGTGGAGTAATGTCTACCTGAGCAGAAAATGAAGTCTCTCTCTCTCTATGTTGTAATTCAAGCTTCTCTGTGCTTTGCTTACGTAGCCGATCCAGACCCGCGTGCATTCTAATGCATGTTAGTGTACCTCCAACTGCTGAGCACCATAGAGCATTCACCAGTATGAAAATATGTATTCAATAAATGCATTCATTTTTTTTCATTCCTACAAAGTCCTCTGTCCTCATGTGCCCTGCATGTGTTTACTGTAAATCTTCCTGCTTTGATCACTCTGTGTGTATGTAACAGGTGGGCTACCGTGACTCTAGGTGGTTTTACCCTCTTCTATACCTCTGACTGTGGCTAAAGGGGTGTTCCAACTATTTCGTATTGAAGTTCAACACTGGATTCAACATTTCACATAATGCAATTCTGCTGACAATGCAGGAGTTGTTTTTTCCAGAAGACATTATCCTAGTAGCTGTCTTCTTTCAAAATACTTTATCTCTCTTCTTGCATTATCCTAGGATGATGTCCCCTGAAAGAAGAGAGTTAGGTCCAAGAAGAGAGCTACCAGGAACCATCAGCTATCTTCTTTCAGAGGACATTATCCTGGTAGCTCTCTTCTTGACGAGTAAACTGAGTGCCCCTTTAAATTCAGCATCAGGCCTTGCTTCTACTCAGTTAGTTGGGTGCAGTTAGGCTCTCAGTCGGTAGAGGGCAGCAGTCAATCTACACTCATACAAGTGCTACATCATGATGCTCATACAGTTCTACCTTTTCAAAATGATCAACACATTTTGCTTAACTCATCAAACAGTTACACGTTGCCCTGACCACCAGGCTGGAAAGATACGTTATTTAAAGTGAACACACCACAGAGACAGTGCATGAGAACATCTCAAAGTCACTTGTTGGGCGTGTCCTGTTTGTTCCACCCACAGAGCGATGTGTTTGGAGGTGTTGTTGTGGTCGACTGACAGAGAGTAAATATCTCACCTCTGCCCTGAGCACCGTCAGTACCATGACACCACCATGCAATGCCATTAAAGTAATCAGAAATACTCAGTTTCATGGTTTGAGTCAAAATATACATTTATTTAGAAATTGCAGAATTTCAGCTTTACCAAATAAGTAGGTCAGCTTTTCTTCATTTTAACTACGTATTATGATCATATATTATATATATATATACCGTATATATGTGTCATTGTCACAAAAGTGTTTCTCCCATCCCTCCTCGTCCTCGATCAAGTTGAGAACTATGTAAGCTTTGGTGTTTTGTATCTCTTAACTTGATCCTCTCAAACACTCATGAAGCCAGTGATAACTTTACAAGTCCTGCAGTCAACAGAGTATTGTGAAAAGATTGAGAAAAGAAAAAAAAAACTCTGAGTTCCCGCTCTGGTCAATCTCGCATACATAAGTTCAGCCCCAGTGATTTTGTCGCCCTCCTCTCCCCCCTGCCCCCCGCCTGACAGGATGTCTTTGTGGTCTTATTTGTGACGCTCTTTGTTTGTCCCAGTCGCTTCACAATAACGCCTCCACTTTTTCAATTCTCCATCTCATGCATATAGTTATAAACTTACATGTGAATTAACAGGTAAAAAGCCACAAATAGAACACATAAAGTCACACTTTATACAAACAAACAAAAATGATAAAAACAAATGCATCGATACAGTACATTAAGCTGTGAGGGAGTAGGAGACAAAACTATTGGGGGCCGAGCTTTACCTTCTCTTCTCTGCAACCGCATGTTGTTCTAAAAGTTGCCTCAATGTTTCTGTATATCTTTGGGTAAGGGTAAAAGAGACTTTAAAGTTAAATGACCTGCTTTATGTCTTAATGCCAAAAGCTCGGTGAGAAAAAAACATGTATCTGCTGCTGAATGTGGTGCTCTGACCCATTTTCAACTATTGTGACAAACAAATAGATAGCAGAAAACCTCATGTGTAAAATGTACCGCATCCTGTTGGCACAGGGCAACAGGGCAGTGTCCACGTGTTGCAAACCCACTAACAACATGCTCTTTCAGTTGTGTTTGAAGAGATTGAAGTGAGATGAGAGTAATGTAGTAATTCCATGTAACTTTTCTCCGGCAATCCTAAATTGACATGAGTTTGAAATCACTCGTGGTTTGAATGTGGGACGGTCTAGTAATGATAAAACATAATATGTAAAGTTGGTAAATCCATTATGAGATTTTATTTTTATTTCCAAATGTTCTAAATTGACTGAATCATTTCAACTGTCATTTGACAAATCAGCTCCAAATGACAGCTTTCTAGATATTAGCAGCCTTTCTCGCAGCAGGTCTGTGCGGGCCTTTGTGCTGTGGAACGAAAACACTGCAGGTTTCCTGTCCTATAAGAAGGTCAAAAGACACGCTGCTTTCATCAGTCAAAGACACGTTGCAAAGTTTAGCTGGACTGAATAACAAAAAAAGCTTGTCTCTTCAGCAGATGACCTGAGCAAAAAGGGTTCTCCACACACACGCTTTTGGGAAATTCAGCACAAAAACAAGCTCCAAATGACATTGAAAAGACATTGAAGACAAAAGAGTTTGACAAGCGGCCAAGTGCTCAACATGCAAGGCTTTTAGTGTGCGGGGCTGCTTCCTCTTCTCATTGTTTGCCACATCTGACTCACATTCTCCAGAAAAGGAGGATCTTTTTACTTGTTTGAGAAACAGCGACAATTGGGCCGTCTTATTCTGTCACTTTGCGCGACTCAGGAAGTAGCTTCGGGTTGAAGGGAGAGGAGTGTTGGTCAGTAGTGACTCATCCCTACTGCGTCAACAACCGTAAAGCTTTCACCTCATGTACAGACCACAAACATCAAACGACTTATTTGAATCAGACGCAGTAGCCTGCCTCTGCTTGGTAAAGTCTACTGCATGAGTAGCTTTATTTTCACTATGGTGGATTATATTTCATCCGTTTTTCTGAGAATTGCAATTCGATTGCACCACACTGAAACCAACAGTCTAAAATGGTATGCTCCAGGAAATGCTGACAAAGGTTTGTATGTGATTCATAGGCATGATAAATCATTAAGATATATTCCTTTCCAATCTTATTCATCACTTTATCTCACGTTACAGTAGTAAAATCCCCTACCTCAGCATGTAATGTGACAAGCAAAATATAATGTACAGTAGCAATGTTAGCTCTGTCACTGTCCACACCTCAAGGCACTTATATCAGTGATGTGTTGTTAGTTTAAGCCACCATAGATTGTGAAATTGTCCAATTATTGCACTAGGACTACTGTACTACTCATTACTGTGAGTTTTGAGAGTCTGGTCATTTGTAAAAACCAGATGAAAAAGAAACAGCTAATGCTAGCTAGCCCCACTCTTTTCTTAAGTGTAAGATAAACACAGCACTGATCATGCCCTGGAGACTCTTCCACAGCTTACATTGGAACATCCTAGGGCGAACCCTTAAATGGAGCTTATTTAAATCAGTAGGTCGTAAAAGTTGTAAAATGCATTAATTGCTATTTTTCCTTCCTCTGTTCATGTGAATGAACCCAAGAACGAGGCTGGATCATAGACTGTGTATAAGAAGAGACGTAGGCATCGTGACGTCACACACTGGTTTGTGGACTGCCGCTTTGATGCCTTGAGTTTGGATGATTTGGCCGTCGCCATTTTAGAATACAGTCATCACCATCTTGGCTTTTTGCGACCAGTGAACAGAAGTTACCATATTTGGAATGCGGAAGAGTGATGTAGAGACTCCGTATACGTCTCTGGTAGCGGCAGTCACCTGTCAATCACTGTAGGCCCGCCCTAAAGCATATAAGAACATCATGCTGTGTTGAAGAAGACTTGACACTATCGATTGAGACCATAAACTGTGTCCACAATGTTTACTTAGGGAATAAATAAAGTGAGAAGTAGGGTCATTTTCTCATAGACTTCCATACTATCAGACTTCTTTTTGTAACCAGAGGAGTTGCCCCCTGCTGACCAGTAGAGAGAATGAAAGTTGAAGACACTTCCGCATTGCCTTCACTCGTCAGAACCGGAGGTTGCTGCCTGGGCTGGACCAAGGGCTGGGAGGCGGGGTTAAAGGAAACGCTAATGCACCTTCTCTATGGGCCCATAGATGCGGATGATCGCCATGAAGATCTGGGTACTTTTGAACTGGAAAGTCAAACTTTTTTGGATTCATACGCCACTGAGCTACTTCCATAGGAATAGGAATGAACAAGGCCCCGCCTCCAACGCTGTATCCAGCTCTCTTTGTACATCCTACCTGCTACCGGTAGGAAGCTAGGCTAATTAGCTAGCTAGCTTCCACTTTTTGAGTGCAATACAAACTTTACAGCACAATGGCTGCTCCCAACTACTAAATCACTAACGGTATAAGGTTATGTGTGTGTAGGGGAAAAGGGGAAGAACATCAACAATCATGTCTCCTACAAATGCCAGCCCTCAACACTGGTGGTGAATGCTAACTAAGCTGCAGTATCATTTTTAGTATATATTTCCACACACAAAATATAAGGGGAATTCAAATTTCACTTTAAGTTGAGGTATGTCCCATGTGGGGCAGAAGCTAATGGGAAGCATATCAACACAGGATGTGCTATTTGTATATTTTACACATGATACAATAGGTTAAAATGAGAGCTTTTAGATGCTACCTCTTCCCTTTGTTCTCAACATTTTTCCTCCTTTTACCTACGCTGCACTTGGCATTGACGGCTAACCATAGCATACAACATAACACCTTAAAAACAAGTTAAAAATAGTACAGTAGAGAGCAGTAAAGCAACACTGAATCAGATCCAATTCACGACTAGAAACACAGAAGAGGACAGCAAAAAAACAATGACTCTGTGCAACATTGTGGTCAGTCTTCATATGTGGTTTCCT